CTCTCTTTCTCTCTCTCTCTCTCTCTCTCTCTCTTTCTCTCCATTCTTCACCTCTCCCTATCTTCATTTCTCTCTGTGAAGCATACTTTCTCCTTGATTTTAAACGTATAATAAATTATTCCATGTACAAATCAAATCTTGTTAAAGCCTCTCTAAAGTGTTGGGAGCCCAAACAAACAAAAACAAGTAAAAATTATCTTCAATTATATAATAAAGAAAGTGAAAGAGGATGTCATTTAACACTGATTTCTGCAAGAATTTTCAGGAAATTATCAAAATAGTTCATTACGAGTCATACCCCACCCCTTAATGCAAAGCAAGGCCCTAAAACAGGTGGATTCTTGAAAGTATAAACTTGTGGAATATTGTTTCTCCCGAGGTCAAGGTCTGGACATGCGATCGATAGACCATCCATCTTTCTTGAATAATAATTGAATATCAATGCCACTCCTTGTTTACTGTACAAAATCACATTACTGAATAAAGGTGCAGCATTAATTTAATTTGGGCTAATTCATAATTATACTAAAGATATCAACTGCCTGCTGCTACGATAAATAAGTGAGCTACATTTTTATTTGTAATGCTGTGTTACAAAATAGATAAACTTATGTATCAAATGATAAATTGGGAATTGGACCCATCTTTACATCGTCAGTCCAAGACGATGTCATCTATTCACAGATCTCACATACATGTAGATCTCTATGTATATATCAGATGTCTCAATTTTAAAACAGAGAATTGGATGTAATAAATTAATTATTTGAAAGAAAAGACAAGACACTTTGAAGCAGAAGTGAGATTTTCAGAAGAAGATAATGAGGAGAAAAGAAGAAGAAGAGGACGAAAAATAAAGAAGAAGATGAGGAAGTAGACGAATAAGAAGAAGAAAAGATACAAGTAGAAGAAGAAGAAGAAGAAGAAAGAAAGAAAAAGAAGTAGGAGGAAAAGGAGAAGAAGAAGAAGCAAGAACAACAATAAAAAGCAAGTAGCAGCAACAGCAGCCGCATGTATTAGCAGTATAGTTTTAGTAATAATGCTGATGCAGATAATGCTGATAATGATTAAGATGATAATGATAACAATAAAAGTAATAACAATGATAATAATGATAATGATGGTGATGATGATTATAATGATAGTGATGATGATGATGATGATTGGCTTTAGTTTTACTTTAAGTCTTGAGGCTGACCTTAAGGATTTAGGTAAAACTGAGACCTATCGCCTGTAATGTAATCTGTACTTTTGAACGAACTGCATTTGCCCTATCCAACTAATATTTTATAATTGAGCACACAAAGAATTATACATGAAAATATCATATCGCCACTTTTTTACCTATTAAGTTGCCTCATTCAATTTGATTTAAACTGTACAATATATTAAATCATTTCATACCAAAAATGGTGATATTGTAATCATGAAACAATGGACAAAAATGCAATCCGCTGTTTATCATTGCTTTCTTTTTTCCCAGAAAAGAAAAACAAGTATAGTATTCAACAAGTACAATTGAAAAGGCATAATTATGTGGAATATCAATACAAAGACAATACATTGTTACGTAGTAATAACAACAATGATACCATTCCGTTTTTATATGGCGCATATCACATTACAATATTCCGGTTATATGCGCTTTGAAGTGCTAAGAAAACTACCTTGTAAAAGTATCCTGGCATTAGCTACGGCAACCGTTATATGCTCATACTTATGTTTTCGAATGAATGCATTTTACAAGGTAATACCTATTTATACACTTGCGTGGAGAGCGACTAATGTAGATTTGATGTCTTGCCGAAGAAGACACAGTGGAAGATAATCATACTACCGTTCACCCAATTACGTGACTCATGGTGCGTTTTCTATAGGAGAGGGGAGGGGGAGATGGAGCTCGTTCTTCCTAGGGTATTTTTTTTTAAAGATTCGTATTTCCTAATCTTCAAAATTGTAAAAATGAAACAAGGTTGATATATCTGAAAATGAAATATATAGGGTTCATGATTCCAAAGGTTCGTTATTCCAAAAAAAAATATTTCTATACTTATATTGCCTATTCTGAATTATGAACCTTCAGAATCGTGTGCTCTCTTTCATGTTCAGAATAACGAACTTTCGTGAAGAATTTTCGGAATAACGAGCATTGTGAAATATGAACCTTCGTAAAAAAAAGCAATACAAAAACGACATGTTCATAGTAAAGTCGAGAGAGACAAGTGTTGATCAAATGCCTAGTTCGAGGGCACACTATACGCATCCGGCAAAAATTCGAACCCTCTAACTTCCGATTGAAAGTTAAGGACATTAACCATGCATGCACTATACACATTAAAATTGTTGAAGGAGAGAGTGTACATTCGCCACACTCTAATTTCATATTACTCTCTATAAACATGTTATACAAATCAAATTCTCCAAGTATTGATATAAAACTCTCCTGATTTTGACATAAAAAAACAAAACAACGAGTGCAACGCAAATGTATTAGACGACATTTATTAATATTATTTTTATATATATTATAACATTTTCTCTATCACCAAAAATTGAAACATTTAAAATATAATTTCTACATAAGAAAATACAAACAACCAAAAAGAAAGGGGAAATTTGACGTGTTTGGAAACAACTGGTGCTACAAAAACAGGGGCGTATAGTAAGCACGGGAATATATCATTATTTATGTTATTTATTTCATCTTAAAAATAAACACATAAACTTTCTTAGGGGAATGTCAAAACATCTGGAATTTGATATCGGTATTATATCGTACATTTTTCTATCAAATTCCAGATATTTTGACATATTGACGTATTTTTGAGGGAATTATTAAAACCCTATTACCGTAGTAGAAAAAGCAATATATACGGTATTAGTGTCAGTATTGATGAAAAAGCCTAACCACGTTTCATCATTGTAAATTAGTTTGATATGTTATAATTAATGTCAATAATACCATCAATCGTTATGGTTGAGTACTTTGAGCCACTCAGATATCAGCCACATTGTCAAGTGGTAAATATTCGAAGATAGTGAGGTTTCATATGTATACATATATCTATTTTCCCGTATTTTATATCATTTTCATGACTTTGACGAACAAATCTGTTCTTTGGTGAAGATACAGGGGACACGATGGTAAAAAAAGAAAGAAAAGGAGAAGGGGAAAGGGAAAGTCAAAAGAAGATATAAAGACACCTGCCTCATTACCCTCTCCTATGTAGCCTCGAAGATTTAATACACCTCATCCATAAAAAAACTGGTGCCCATCCCAGTAATGCCAAAGGGCTCCGCTACACCACTGCTTTACTAAATGATTATATTCTTGTCTAGATATCTCTTCGTGGTGCTATGTCCTGAGGGTATCGCGTCCATTTATCTTGTCACAACCTGAAAATTGAAGAAGAGAACAAGGTCACTAATAAAGATATGTTTAACATATAAAACGGTGCTCAGGATTTCCACGCCTTGAAAATGAGTTGAGTGAATTGGTCATCCTTGCACAGCCAAATTAAAAAAATGGGATGTTCAAAAACAAGACTGATACATTTTTGCGCACACCAAATTTCACAAGTTTTTCGAAATTTGTCAGTGTTCACTCAAGCGCAAAATATTGTCAGTACTTTTAGTGCTATCCGTTTGAATCGACCCTCACCCATGAGGAAGAAAAAAATCATGCGGATATTATGAAATTAAAACTGGGACGATACTTTCAAACTGTGTCCTTTTTTATACGCACTGTAGAGTGGCCAGTTTGTGTACTGATTTGTATAACTTCATACAAGTCATATTAAACCATTTTTCTTATTTTTTGACGGAGTTTTAAATCAAATGTGTTCAGTTGATTTGTTTTATCAACTTTTTTTTCAATGAACTCTGTTCACGATCGCTTTATTAACGTGCGGATTATAAACCCTATTGTACTTTAAATCATATTGCTCCGATTGTCTCATTTTCGCTCGCGTGAACATTGCCAGCACAAACCACTGACCTCTGCCTTCTGAACGGATCATCGCCCATTCCATTCACTATACGTTACGTACTATAAAGGCTGTATTGTCTGACCGTTCATGAATATTCATGTTTTTGCTAAACTCGGCAAAATGTTTGCTTTTACTAAATGGAAAAATTACGGTGGGGGGTTGGATGAAATGGACATAATGAAATAGGCAGAAGTGATCTATGATAATTCATGCTTTTTATGTTTCGTGTGCTCGACCTATAACCTTCAAATCGCTTGGTAAACTGAGTCCAAAGTTAGACTTGTTTCACACGTGTATTATAGGCAATGACGAGCTTCCAACCTATTTTGAAAAATTACGGTGGGTGAACTTTCACAAGTCAATGAGACATGAGGGCTCCAATGAAAGAGCTAGTGATAACGTACGTCGGGTCGGATGTGCTTTTCGTTTAAACAAAAAATGAATTTTTAACGATTTTTTTAAAAAACGTCCATAGGCTAACATGTTAGGCTGCCGACTCAGATCATGCTCTGACGATAGGGGGCGTTGTGAAATGAGACTAACCGGAGCCATATGTTGATGTCTGGAATCGTATGGTGCTTTTTTCAATAAATGGCGCATTGATTTTTTAGTTTTCCACCTTTATCTTTTCAACTTGATGTCAAGGTAGACTTCGCCTTGAGAAAGCACACTGAGTAAAACAATTAAAGAAAGAAGACATACAATGTTGGCCATCAAATTGGAATACAGTTTTTTAAACCTCTTTTCATGACAGGATTTTGACAATATGATATATTCTTGATTGATAAAGTTTATACCGTCTCAGAACTTTATAGATCAAACAATCTAAAGAGTCATAGAGATTGCAGATATAAACTTTATCTCTCAAGAATCATTTATATTGTCATAATCATTTCGGGAAATAGTTAAGAACGAATTATTCCAAGTTAATGGCGCAGCTGATTGTTAACAATTTAATGAATACTACACTAAAGGTTCCCCACCTATTTACATCATCATTTCTTTTTGTGTTATTATACGAAAGTGAAATTTTGAGAGCTTACCGCGTCGATCGTTTTATTTCGAAACACGTGTTGACCTGACGGGTGTTGGTCCAGGTCGTATACAGGACTTCTTCCCCGTCACAGAGGTGACACTGACCGGACCAGCTGGTAGTTGATAACCCATTGTCTCTCCCTACCATAAACCCGAAGGTAGGGAAGTCCTCGTTCTGGTTGGCGTAACCCACCACAACTGTGGGCGCTACGAGAAGATGAGAAAAAAAATCAACACTAATTAATTCATTCATTCAATCATTCATTCATTTATTCATTCAACTTTTCTTTACAATTGAGAGTGATTCCAGTCAGAACCACGAAGGACCTGTTTTTAAGAGAAACCCTACTATGATTATAACACACTTTACCAATTTGATGCTGTTGTGTGTTTCTTGTCAGTAATTAAATAATTATAAATAAAATTATATTCAAGAATTAGGCAAATACTTTCTTTTCCTATTTTTTAAATTTTAGGTGTCGTGTTAATTTCTCTTCCATGCCGCGTACAAATCTAACATGATTTAGCTATTCGACTGTGAAAGTGTATAGTAGTCCATTGCATAGTCCTACACCACCCAATTTGATTGTTTGTTTTACAGAAGAAGAAAAAAGTAAATCACCAAGAATTGATACTATGATATCTTTTTAACCAGACATTGTAATGTCCGATGAAAATTTTGCAATGATTACATAAAATACAATAATATTATAATAATGCGAATACAAACACAGTTCATTGCAAAGTACTTTAGGAAAAGGCATGCAGAAAACCTTGTTCAGATTTGCCGCAGTAAACAGCGGCGTTTTTTATAATTGTTATGATGACGTTATTGTAATACGCTTCACATATGTTTTTCTTATAACACGGAGCTCTGTGAATTCGGGTAGGACCCTGTTTGAGCACACTTGCTATTCATATAACTTAAGTTTGTCTGCATTACAAAATGGTCTCTTAGTGGGCCAACATGATCGAGTGAAAATGCTAAAGGGAATGACGGTCTTACCTGAGGAGCCAAGAAGGATCTCTTCATTGGTCATATAATCTCCAAGAAGAAGACCGGTTGATGTCTTCACGATGGTTATCTTGTCATTGCAATCAGTGTACCACTCCCCGTCTAAATCACAGTAACCAACTATTGAATTGAAGAAGACATTAACACATGTACAAACGTATAGTTTAAGGAACAATAGCAAATCAGTTTGTAAACGAGTAGATTGTCAATATTACATATGTTTATTTGGAAAAAGTTATTTCGATGAGGCTACTAACGAGCTCGTATCAAAACCTTTTTGCGTTTTTTTTTGCGTTTTTTTTTCTTTTCAAATAAAGTATTTATTCAACTTTTCTCACTTTATAAGCCAATTTATGAGCAAATGTTGAGCCTATATTGTTTGTTCAATTTAATTATTATTTATTTTTTTATTTTTTGTTGTTAAAAAAATGGAAATTATAAAATGTCTAGTTGAAAATATATGATACTTTGCCTACTAAAAAAAATTAAAATAGGAATAATTTCCACCTGGGATGCCAAAGATTAAATTATTAGCTGTTAATTTAATTTCATTTTGACAAAATCTTTAAGAATCGACAAGTTAAGGGACATTCCCAAAATAAATGTCTAAAAGATTAAATATCTTCTGAACAAAACGTACACAAATAAAAATGGGATACACCCATTAGTTGTTAAATACTTATGAGCAACAAAATATTGGTATATATAAACAAATGAAAGTTGTTATCTGCCTTAATGTGAGTCATCAGAAATTATTATGTAATTTGGGGGCTATGTGGCTTTTCATATGATAATATTAGGTTTTTATGACATTGCATATCTTCTTATTTGATTGGATATTGAATTAGAAATCTTTATCTTTCGTTTGAAATAGAGTGACATATACGTCAAACTTGTAAAGCACTGTCACATAACCATTCATGCCTTTAGTCATGTGATCAACATATTTACCTTTTTCGCAGTTCACGCCGGAATATCCTAGACGGCATTCGCAGGTGTACCGGCCCTGACCGTTGTCACAGCGCCCTCCATTCTGACAAGGAAGGCTTGAACACTCGTTCACATCGAGATGTGTATGAAAATTTGGAATTTTATTGTGATTAAAATGATTGTATCAAGTGTGCAGAGTTAGAGGGGTGTGCCATGGGTAAGTTTGGAGAATGCTCCCAGGAGGAAGCTCAATATTTTGGCCTGAGAGTCGGTTGCATTGTGGTTTAAGGGCCAGTTGAGCCGGTCGCATCTCATTCCCAAAGTGAATTTCATCACAACCCGCCCCTGCACGTGTGGTACGATCTTATAAATATAAAGTATATATATATTTATAAATGTATACTTGTTATATCGACACCCTTGCACCATAACATTACTAAAAAAGAAACAAAGAATGTACGTATTATTCAATTTGGTAAGTCTTTCAAGATTTTCATCTTATTTCAGTTTCCAAGTTTGTGTGATTTGAATGTGTATATTTTATTATATCACTTCATAAAATGTTGAAAATCCTGGGATAATACGTGCTTACTCTTTTAATGTACCAGAGTGTAAACCCACTTTTTTGGGGGTAAACAAGTCTGCACTTAAAATAGTGCAGTCCCGTTTCAATAGAGTGGATTCCCCCCGTTTAAGGATTACTCTGCCTGTCATTGTGAGAAAAGTGAATAATATACTATTCTTCAACCCGTAAGTAATAAATTTGATCTGTTGGTTATGTGTAGATTCATAAGCTTACCAATATCACAGTTGTACCCTGTAAAGCCCTGTCTGCACACACATCTATAACTGCCCCCGTAATATACTTCACACATAGCCGCACCATCGCAAGGGTTACTCTGACAAGGATCTATATTAAAACAGGAAAGCAGCAGAAAAATTAGTGTATTAAAAGCAGACAACAATCCATCTTTAATCTTTTAGTAGAATATCTTTCACGTTTTTTGCATTTGAAATTGTGAATATTATAATGACTTTAAGTTAACATTTCGTTAAGTAGACTAGTCAAAAATTGAGTCGACACAATCGGAAACTGACCCGGGAATCGCCCCCTGCTTCCTTGAGTCGACTTCGGAATCATGCTTAAATGACGCAGCTTTAACACTATTGATTCTATAAACGTTACTTACTAAATTTGTCACACCCTCTTTTATGACGTTAGTAGTTAGTCAAGCGAAACTTGAACTGTGCTGAATAAAAGAATCAGTTGCTACCTTGTAAGTGTTCCATCGGTTAAAATGACATATTATTACGAATATTGTGTTAAATATAACTTTATTGTTTTAACAAGTGCAGCCTGGCCTATACAATAAACATATACGATACTGACTAAATCTGTATGTAAACTACTGAACCAGAATGCAAACAAAACCTCAACATAAGTCAGTTTCTGCATTTTCCACTTCAAGGGTAGCTGTAAACTGTATTTAACAACAATTAATTCTCAGTCCTTTCAAGGACTTCTGAATTATCACGACAGATTACAACACAGTCATTTTAAGGCCTACCCACATGAAATGCTTTCTCTAAGATATCTTCTCGCCATGCAAACTTGTTCTTTTACAAAACAATTACCTATCACTATACTTTCACAGTTCTGTCCGGTATAGCCTGTAGCACAGCGACACGCATACACGGACCCGCTCTGTATACAAGACCCTCCATTTAGGCACGGATTGCTGCTGCATGCAAATTCTGAAAAAGGACAAAGATAAATGTACTCAAATCCAGATAATATTGTTATTTATTTTACTACTTTGCTGTGAAAATAACTTCTTCCATTTTTAAAATCAATCATTCAATAATTTAGGAAGGCATGATGGTTCAGGGGTAGATCCGTCTCACAGGCTACAGTTCGAAAAGGGTTTGGAAACCTAGTCAATATGCTTGTTCCCTTTCGTAATTTATTAATTATCGCTCACCAAATATCTCAGATAGTACTTAAAAACGAAGAAATAAATAACACTTTCTTACAGGCTAGCAGTCAGGTAAAATGAAATCATTGATAAAATTATCCTTTTAGTTCTTAAAAGAGCGTACTATATTGAGCAGGTGGCTCTTAATTAAATCTATGTACATTATATTTACTATTGAAGTCGCCTGATTATTTTCTTGTGGTACGTACTCATTTCAGCAGAATCTGATTCATCGTCAGACTAGTAATTAACAGTACTTGGAATGGATTTTCCACCCATTCACATGTAATTTTGAACTTAGTTGAAAAATAGTTGCAGCAAATACAAACAGTTCAAGGGAATCCGATATGACTCTGATCGAAAAAAGGTACAGGTCAAGAGCAAAATAAAAATTAATTTTTCACCACGTATTTATAATTCACGTATTATTTGCAATGCAATTTCCAATGCCATACAAAAGAGTGTCTATCTACTTCCAGTAAATCCAACTCGGAGAGGACCTAAATCCGTCGGTCTCCTGGTTGCTTACTAACAAGCATTAATGCTTTCTTAACAGTCAGGTAAAATAACCACCGCTACTTATACTTATTTAGAACATTGCTTCTTGTACTTAGTAATTAATCTCCTTTCGACAACGAGAACTGTACAATTGATCTCACTCACGGGTCACGTATGATGTTTAAACTCACACTTAAATAGTTTAAAATAGAATACAAATATATATATAAATAAATAAATAAACATACCTGTTTCGCAACGTGAACCTGTAAAACCAGAGGCACACTGACATTGGTATCCTTGGCCTACTTCCATGCATGTAGCATCATTCATACAGGGATCTCCAATACATACATCTGTAAAGAAACAAGTTCAGTCAAGGTTGTATAGTAACAATAATAATACTCAGTTTGTACATAGCGCTTATTACAATCACTAAGCGCTTCCAAACTTGGAGATTATTACCATTTCAAAGAATTAATTCCTGCCAGGTACCCATTTACATCACCTGGGTTGAGTGTGGCAATTGTAGATCAATGTCTTGCCAAAGGACATTAGTGCCGCGGCGACTTAACTACTCGACCACAGCACCTCTACAGGCTCCTGTGCCAACTGCTCTTCGGTAATTTCATTCACTAATCGAGTTCCTTACTTTAACCATAGAGCAATCACTGTACCTAACCCTGAACCTAAACCACAACGCTTGAGGAAAGAAGCTGATACATTTAAGCGTTACGCTAACCTTGGCATAACAAGTCATTTGATACCATATTGAATTTCACATTTCATATAAGCAGCTACTATAAATTCCCCCCAAAAATATTTATAATGCTGCTGATAAAGAGATTTTTTGGTGTGTTTCTTTCTGTTATCTTCGGTGATTAAAACAGAGAACATTCCGCCCCCCCCCCATCTGTCGAAAGTTACTACTTATCATGCTTACATTATGCAGGGATTCAAAAGTACTTACCTAAGATAGTCTCGCAATACAATCCAGTGACACCATAGGGGCATTGGCAAGTAAAAGTGTTTATTCCATCTTCGCAGGTAGCATTGTTTTGGCACGGATCGCTCTGACACTCATACTCATCTGCAGAAAAGATTGATTAAAAACACGATCACATGAGTTGATTTCAAGAATAAAGTCTTTGCGTTTAACGTGGAAAACTTTGTGTTTAGCAAGAAATAAAACAAAAACCAACAACTAGACGTGTACAATTACCTATATAATTTTTTTGTTTATATTAGTATGACTATCTTATTCCTAGATGGGTCTTTATGACCCTCTTTTACACCGCAATTATTGACACGCCCTGAACTAAAAAAAATCATTTAATAGTGTAAGAATTAACCATACACATCATACAAAAAATTGTATAGTGCTCTTGCCAAAAAATGTTGGTCTTGATTTGTATATAAGTACTCCAGTCTGAAAAATATTTATATATATATATATATATAAATATGTATACATGTATATATATTTATATTTATAAATTGATTTTGTTCGCAACGGTAATGTTGAGTATTTGCTTGTATTTCATTGAAACGGTTCAGAAACTCAAATTTGTAATGATGTCAACGTGTAATGCACTTAATAACAATGGTATTCAGGGGAAATGATGAGAGCTCGGTTAGCATAGGTGTTGTGTTGTACTGGATGTCTCCGGACTGTGGACCACAAGGTATGGGCTTCGAATGCCTGTTCTAGGACAAATGTACTTTGGCAAGACATAAATCTATATTTGACCCAGATGTAGGAAGTGGATACCTGACAGAATTTATTCCTTGAGCTAAAGAAGGGGTAATATTATCAAAAGAGTATCCCTTGTGAACGCATAGCTAGGTTCTATCATTATGTGACACGCAGTTTACAAGAACGGAAATTGATATTGTAATGATGAGGGGGAGACAAACCTGTTTGACAGTAATCCCCTTTGAAGCCTTCAGGACAGAAGCACTGGAAGCCTCCAAGGCTGTCTGAACACGTGCCTCCATTCTGACAAGGGTTACTCAGGCACTCGTTGATATCTGAAAAGTAGCATTGTTCAATTAGTGAAAGTAATGAAAATATTGATATTCTTTCACCTCAAAATCACTATTGTCTGATTTTTGGGTGATTTGGTGGAGAAAAGCAAGACATAAGCAAAATACCACGTGGATTTTACAACTGTAATGAAGTGTTAAAGATCAATGATGTTTTATTTCTTTCTCTTATTTGTTAATTAAACTTTTTTTCTTCAGAAAACTTCCTTTTTAAAACTATTTCAACGTATTTCGAGATTAAAACAGTTTTTCGTGTTTTGTTTTTATAGAATAATGAATAAGTTTATTAATGTTTTAATCAAAGAAAAAAAGAAATATCTCACCTTCGGTCCTTTCTGCTGTTAGGTTCACCAAGAATCCACTTCCCATAAGCGAACACGCCTCTCTTCGTTTCCTTCTACTGGAGTCCCCAGTATCCGACACAAATCTAAACCACAATTCTCGAGTGGGGGAGGTAATATCTTCAGGCAATTCACTTCCAGTCAACTCCACTAGGATTGTGAATCTTATAGGACTCGAGCCGTAGCCCACGGTGAGCGAAGAAGATTCGGTGAGGTTGAAGAAGTCGAAACGCGCCCTCACGCTGTGATCCCGAGGAGCCATTATCCGCCAAATCTCGTGCACGCTGTCGCTTGCATCAAGAGGTATGTCTGGTGAGCGGAGTTGTTGGACCGTAGACTCGTCCACCAAGATTAGAGGATTATCATCTGTTACCAAAAAAGGATTAAAACAATAAATGTGTCAGAAATACAGGCATGTTTTGTCTTTAAAAAAAAAGACAGAACAGAATAAATTAAGAAATTGTATGTTTGTTATATTATAAAACCATCTGATCATTCTGAAGATTCTTAATCCCCCGTATTTCACCATGGTACAAAGACGAATCGTATTACCTCTCGGATCCACAGCGTTCAGTGTTGCCATGAATCCAACGTCAGTAAGTTCGTAACTACTGGAGAATTTGAGCCACATATGGCGGCCATGTGACGTCACAGTTGACCTTAACCCATAGCCCGTGAGCCTCGCAAGCTCTGTGTAACTCAGTGGCGTCAGTCCATCGCCCACAAACAAGGTGTCGAAGTCTAATTCGGTAGCGAAGTCGACGATGTCCAGCCTGACGCTGTGGTTGACAGGAGCCGATACTTTCCAGACGATGTTATCACCGATGTTGTAGTCAGAAGGGTAGTTTGGAGAAGTGATGGTCACTGGGACGGCACGCTCAAGGGTGATTTCATTAATACCTGGTGTTATTGCTGAAAGAAATATAAATATCACCAGAATACTTATGATTTTAAAAAAATCCAATGAAAAACGCCAAAACATATTATTTGAGACCATAATTTCAAGACGGAAAATTGAACTTTAAAGTATGATTACTGTGAACTTATAATCTGAAGAATTTTGACTCCTCTCAAAGGGCTGATTGATATACTGGCCAGATCGTCATTTCATTTACGGTCAAATGGCCAGATGATCATTATACATTAATGGAAAACAGAAACTTCAAAAAGCTATTGGCCAGTCGTACATACATTCATAGGTCATGTTTTAGCCAAAGTGGTCTCCATACAAGCGCAAAGTATTTTGAGAAATTAATTCAACGGCACTTTTAATGGCATGTAGACAATTATCGGATTACCGATACCTTAGACAGCCAATCAGAGCTCGTTATATTCACGCCTCGTTACTTTTAGTTTCCGTTTATATTGTTCGATTTCGGCTTTCTGTTTCATTCTTGCGTTTAACTCTGACGAGTGCAGGACGAATTGCTTAAGTATGGCTGTTTTCAACGCGATTTTCCGATTATGTAGTACACATGAATCATATTTTCAATTATCGGATAACGTAATACGCCATTGTAATGTAAGCACATATCAATAGGTGATGGAAAAGGCTTTTGAAATTGCCGTGTTTTTTGTTGATGTTGTTCATGCCGAAAGTCATCTGATCATGTTTCTCCTGCACATGTGTACTTACCTCCTGAAACCACAGCTGTAATAAATGGCTGGAACTGTGAGATTCGGGTATAGACACCCGGGAAGAGTGGTCTTGCACATCCATATCCAAAGCTTGTTGCTCCTACCAGATGCCATCGACCATCATCACCCTCACAGGTCAAAGGCCCACCGCTGTCTCCCTGATTTTTTTTGGTTATAAACACGAGAGAGTAAATTTGATTGGATGACTTGCAAACCAAACGAATTATGCTACATAGGACCACACACAGGTGTCGTTTTCGAATAAAGTACTAGGAACTTTGACATTTGATATATTCATAGGATACTTAAAATTCTGAAACCAAGACAAAAATGTTATAACATTGGAAATCACTAAGTGAAAAAACAGGGTTACAGCCCAAATATCCGGTCAAATGAAACAAATATAGATATGACGGGTAAGGAGAAACACAACTTGGGGGGAATTAAAGATAATTAGCAAATCCAATACTCCTCCTCCCCCCTCAGTCCATACTGTCGTAGGAGGACGGTATGAGCACTATACTTGGAAATCAAAGGTCATGGGTTCGACCCCCGGCAAAGCATTAATGTCCTTTGGTACGGCATGTTTATCGACATTTTTCATTCCACTCAGAAGAGACTGGGGACATTATAGAAGCACGAAGCCCTAGTGATAGAAATAGCCATTTGCCCTCACGGTGACCGTATGGTAAGAATACTCCTCATGGAATGGAGATGCTGCAAATTTGGCGGATGAATGAATCTGGTGACCGGGATAATAATATCTTTAAAGTGGTAACAGACGGTATTTCGTCCAATATAAATCCAGATTTATAATACTAATTAGTAGTAGTATTGTTATCATTTCTGATATTATACTTTTAGATTTTAATTATTTTCGTTGTTATTATTATCAATATTAATATTATCATAATAAGTAGTAGTAGAAGTAGTAGTAGTAGTAGTACTACTAGTTAGTAGTATTTTCTTGCATTTAAACCTCCTTTTGGTTGCCTATTATGTCCGATGCCGCCGCCCCACTACATGGCTAAGGCCAGGCTACGCCATGGATAGCAGTTACCTGACAAGTATCAATGCCGCCCTGTTCATATCCAGCACAAATCATTTCTTCTGTCACATTCCCGTTGTAGGAAAGTTCAGAATTGCACGAGTCTCGATGAAGGAGGTTCACCACTGCTTTCTTTAAGCTCACTGTCAACGCTGTAAAAGATTAAAAGAAATCATCGTGTACATCTTCTGTAAGCAAACGAACTTCAAGTTTAATTGTCATCAAAAGTTTTAAACCATTTCAAAAGAGATGAGTGCTCCCGCTATTAAAAGGTCGAAATCTTGTAGCACTACTATCTAGCATGATTTTTAATTTTGTGACTATCTAATAATTAAAATGCAATATATAATCACAATAGATAGTATTCGTAAAGTTATCAAATTTGATGCACAAATCGTTGTTAAGTGCTTCGTTACAAAGTATTTCATTTAGATGTTACGCGTAATTGTATTTCAATTGTCAGAATGCGAATCAAATTAAGTGGGTGAAATTAAATTCGTTATGAACTTTCAGGCCTACGTGATCAAGAAAATCTGAAAAGGATGTTAAAAAGCTTCTCAATTTGAAAGGGGCATGCGGATGTCACATTCCTTTCAATCAGATAACCTAGTGTACTGTTTCAATAACCCCTGTAAGAATGGAGCAACCTATATCAGCACTAAATAGTGAAACACAGTGGTGTAGTTATTGATTCACATGACATTTAAAAAGAGTGGTTGACAGTTTGAATCTCTCCCCGCTGGGCATATCCATAGATAAAATATTTCATTTTCAGTCGCCTCTCTTGACCCAGGCGTAGTGAATGGGTATTGGTGTAATCTATACACTGAAATGCACTGTTAGGTGATAACGGTACCCGGATAAAACTTAGGAAATCGTATTGCATTTAAGGACACACACACACACACACACACACACACACATCGTTTCATCTGGGAACTTCGCTTTACAAAACAAGGCATACGTGAGCCTTCCTGTGTAGCTCCCCATCCAGCAACGAGACAGCGACGATAGTCCTTGAGTTCATCCGAGGATTCCGCCAGACACGCGGGTCTAACGTAGTCACTGAATGTCACCGGTTCAGCAAGGCGTATCAGAGCGATGTCGTTGAGGAGGAAATAGGGGTCGTACTCGGGATGGACGAAAATATCAGCCATCTCGACAGATACCTCGTTGTCGGAGTCATCTGTCAAATGTGCGTTCCCAAAAACCACACGATCGACGTAGTAATAACTATAAATGATATGGGGTGTAAAAAAAGTAATTTTTACAAGGGCGAAATATCATCTAGAGATAAACACGTTCGCTACTATAACAATTGTACTAAGTAAATATCCCTGGTTGAGTCAAGTTGTAAATTTAATTTTCATTTCCACAGAGCAAACGAGTCTGATTAGTGGCATCATACTTACACGCAGTGAGCTGCGGTAAGAACCCACTGAGAGTTGATCAATGTAGACCCACACAAATGTCCTCCAAAGTCCAATCCTTCGATGCGGAGTGAACCAATCCAAGGGAATTCCCCTGGGCGTGCGTTGATACCACCAACAACCCTGGATTGGTTTGGGGCGTATGCAGGGCGTGTCCCGCATATGTTGGTATCGAAAAGATCTGCAGGGGGATAAAGTCGCATGTCAGTGGCACAACGACGGGAAGGGAAGGCACAACCACCCAATTCGAATAGCACCCCTTTGCGCCCCCCCCCCCCAAGCAAATAAAACAAAACTAGCATAAATCGAAAATAAAATGAAAAGGGGAGGGAAAAGGATGCCCAAAGAAGATGATAGACAACCTTTGAATACCCCTCCCGTTTGATTGGTGAATTTCATGTTTCTCTAAAAACCCACTTGGCAGTAAGATCAGTGCCGCCATCCCTATCTCATTAGCTTTACGCCACTGCCACATGTGATGAATTCAATAGAAAATGCTGACATCTTTTCTTCTGTTTTATGAATTATTATTTTTAAACACTTAGTGGATCTTATTAATTCCAAGCATATTCTTAATTCGATATCATTAACATGTATGCATGGTCTTTACCTCCCGCAGGGCCAAAACAGCTCCCATCTTCCTCCTGTTCATCGTTCAACGTGGAGCAGTTGACGGGCCAAGGACGGTCGAGGAGTTGCTCAAAGGATGCCTTGCAGGCATCAGTGACTGCCAAACAGTCGGAGTAGCACAACCGATGGGTGGGGCCGTTATGGGTGCATTCCGGATAGTAAACGGAGCACATGAAAGGGAACAGGTGATCATGGCACGATGATATAGCAGCTTCCTATAGTAGATCATTAGAAAGTATAAACTTTGAGGATTTCACGTCAGGATTTTCAAAGGCAATTGCAACGTAGATGTGTACGGTACATCAACATCAACAGTGAAGCCAACTGCTCTTGCAAGTGGTACGGGGGACCTCGTACCGATGAATGTAACATAAATAATGTATTTTCAGACAAACAATAAATATTACATTAAATAAAGATCTCCAGCATATTTTTGGTCGTTACGTGTCTGTTATATATACCCTTTTGTGGGCCTGTTGTTGTTACCGTACATATCCCTTCGAAATGACTCACTTATACAAACAAAAATATTATTTAATGCGTATAAACAAATATCAAATTCATTGGTTGATATACGGGTCAATACCCGTAGAAGGACAATGTTTTACTGAAGTTAAAACTAATAAATTAATCGTTCCTGGCATTATCTATGAAAATCATCGACAAGCTCGACATAACCCACCATTAATAAAGAATCAACTGAAAAATATTTGTTTAAATAAAGCATCGGAAAAACTCTCCGTTGCTTACAATTTCTGTAAAGTTTCCCGCCGCAGCGTCCGCTGTCTCTGCGTTCCGATTCGGGAAAAACGTCAAATTGTAGGCCAGGTTCTGTCTACATATGTCAAATTGAACTTGTTCGCAGTACGCTGGGTGGGCGAAAAATAGATGAATGAAGGGTGAAAAGCAGCGATAACATATCAGAGAAATCAGGAGAGCAGACAACATATAGACACAATAACAGCAACAAAAAAGAGACATCAAAATAATTCGACGGCTGAAGATCATGAAAGACTTTATGTGTTTGGGGAACTGGTAAATAAAAACTCAGGGAAGAAAAAAAAACTAAAATAGAATCCAGAAATATAGAAAATCCCTGAATATATAGGCCTAGATATAACATAAAAATGTATAGATAAGTGTGCTATACAATTTAGCGAAGTGTAGATTTTAGGTAGGCTAACTATAATGATAGGAATTAATTGAGAAGCGAATGTAAACGTTAAATCCAAACTTACGACAGTATTCCTCATCTGAGAAATCGAGACAGTCATTATTTCCGTCACACCTTGCCGATTCGCTGATACACAATCCACTTGAACATTGGATTTGTCCGCTGCTGCATCCTGTCATTAAATATTCAAAGCATCGAAATTTAGATAATCTCAATAATATCAATTCTAGTAAACGATTTGTTATCGTGGATTCTAACTGATAGATTTTGAATAGCAATATAACGTCTGGGCCCCGTCATATAAAGAGCTGATATTAATCGCAACTTGTTTGCCATTGATATCAATCGCAAGTATGTACATAAGAGATAGGAGACAGCAAACTTGAGATTGATAGGAGGACTTGCGATGGATTCGGATCAATCCCAACTCTTTTTGAGACGGGGCCCTAATGGAACATTTTTTTAAGCATGATTGAAATAATCACTCTGGAAAAAAATATATTATGATCGAGGCACGACCTCAATTTTATAATATACAAGTAAGTTTCATCAGATTACTTGGGAATATCTTTTAAAACATAACTGTTCTTAACTGTCTCGTAGGCCTACCTTTCTTCATCAGCTTCTGTAAGCATAGAATCTAGGTCAGTTGTTTTGGGGAAATTATCAGGCGAGCTAGGAATATTTCTAAAATTATATTTGAAGGCCTCTGCGTATTACACTTTAAAGTGACTGGGTAACATTGTTGAAGGTTGATGAAAAAAATTGCTTAATTTTTGTATAAAATGTAACTTACTATATTCCTTCTACTGTACTAACCCTCTGACAGGCAAAAAATCCTGAACAAATTCTCAAACCACAAAGATATCTATGGTTTTCTGTGAAGGCGTCGATGTGAGGCACCCTCTAACAGTGATTAACAATAAATTCTCCCAAACATTTTTGAATTTTCCCAACCGTTTTTCCATGAAAAAAAGACATAAAACAGGCTATAAAAAATCTGTCAACACTTAAATGTCTGGAATGGAATGTAGAGCCATTTTATTGCTTTGTGAGATTTCCATTCACCTAAAATGTAATTAAATTGTTCTATAGATCTAGATCTAGACCTAGTTGGGAGAATTAAGGAATCGATCAGATCAGTTTTTCCCAATTTGTACCATGAATAATGGTCCGTTTTCACTCAAATTTTCAGATTATCTTTAATTGAACATCTAGCATTGAAGTCACTACCTTAGAACCACTATCTCTCATCTGAACAATGTTACCCAGTCCCTTTATTCAATATGGAAAGTTTTCCCTCCTGCTTCATATGAGAAAAAAAAGGATAATCAATATCCTTACTTTCATCTTTGATGAATTGATTTGTTTTAAGCATACTAGGTATAATATAACACGATTGACTTTTAATTTGAGCGAGGGAGGTAAATATTTGATGCGTTACTAACCTGTGATATATTACGTATCCACTTACAGCAGCGGATTTTTTTTTTTTTGGGGGGGGGATTTTTTTTAATGTTGATGGCCCGGGGGGGGGGGGGGTTACTCAGATTTGGTTTGGACGGGATGTGTGGCTGAAGTGTGTAAACCCAAACTCATTTTTAAGGGTCATTTTGGCAAAAAATTGTTCACATTATTAGGGACTTCCATTCAAAATGTGTGTGTGTGGGGGGGGGGGGGGAGGTCTTTTCTGAAGAATTCCTACCCCCTCGTTATCTTATGGCGCGTCTAGAAAGCAAGTTCCATGCTCCTTTCAGAAAGATGTACCCGGAAGTTGTAGTGGCATAGGCTAAGTTGTGATCCTTTGTGTATAGCTTACACAGAATTTTGTTTTGGTACGCTCGAGGGGGGGGGGGGGGGTGGGATTACCCATTTATAAATTAGTCAGAAGCGGTGCTCAAATTAATGATATTGATAAATCTGTACGACTATCGGCGAGGACTTTGGATGAAAAAGCGAAATCGTTTTAAAAAGAATTTGCGGGACTTTGCATTTGGAATTTTCACTATAGCGAGATACGTTCCTGACTTTTAAATTTTTGACAAAAAAGTAACCCATTAGAGCGGCACATCCCCGTATACCGTATTAAGCGAGTACTCCCCCCCCCCCCACCCCCCCCCCCCCGAGGTTGACGGGTCGCATCATATCTTATTGCATGCCCCGTGTGGTCTATGGGCTGCCAATAAGAATAATATTACTTAACTTAGTAGTAATAATAAGTAGAATAGCTTCATTTATATTGCACGCAAATTCATCCCAGAGAAAGCTCAAACAAAGTAAAATTAAATCCCTGGTTTTTAGCCCTGTTGCCCTATTCAAAGGCGTTCAAACTATTCAAGGAATACATTTCTACCCGGTTCCCATCTGCTACACCTGGATGAATAGTAGTTAATTTAGACTATGTCTTGCCAAAGTACATAGTGCCTCGGCGGGACTCGAACATCAAACCATGTGATCCACAGTCCGGTGACGTATCCATTAGACCACGACACCTCTAAAGCAGAAGCAGGCCTAGGATAATATTATCTTAATTACCAGGGTTTAGTATAGCTGTGACACGAAGACTGAAGCCGATATCGCCCCTTGAGACATCCGTGGTAAACCTGATCCACATAGAGTGACCGGGTGTAGCGGGTTCACTGGAATAGTTATACCCAGTCAGTTTCTGAAGCTCCCAAGAACCAGGTTCATTGGGACCAGGCCCGTAACCAATGTCCAAGTAGTCGTAGTCCGTCTCTAGGGCCAGGTCTAGGATCTGTACCTGGAGGATGTGACCCTCTGGAGTCATGATTAACCAAGTGTGGTCGAGGTTCGAGTCGTAGTAGGATGGATAGCCGGGTGAAGATATGACGGTGGTTTCGTTCCCTTCAAGTCTTATCACAGTGATGCTGGTATCTGTGCAATGAATTGATAATAATGATGATAATAATAATAATAGTAATACAAATTATAACAATACAAATAATAAAATAATAATGATAATGATCATAAGAGTGATACAAAAATACAAATAATAGTAATAATATTTTTAACCAAGGAAGCCGAGGCATTCACGGCGTTCTTCAAGAGAGTCCTGCATAATCATAGCAGATTTATTGGAAGGAAAAGTAGAAGGTACCAGACTAAGAGGGAAAACAATAACTAACTGGAAGGGGAACACAACGACATGGAGTGGAATTACAACGCGAGAGTCTACTAGGATAGCAGCCAACAGAGATGTGTGGACAAAATGTTGCAATCAGCATCCAAGCTGGGAGAAGATACTACCTTGATAGATATCTAGAATTGACAGACACCCCTTAACACCTGGGTGGAGATTGGCAAATGTGGATTAATGGGCTGGGGTTTGAACCCTCAATCTTTGGATTGAAAGTTAAGTGAATGAACCTCCACACCACGATACGTCCACTAAAGACAGGATAGCTACGAATTGAAAATTGCATTTCATGGACTCTATACTCTAGCCGCAGCGCACCCATCCCATATCTAGGAAATGAAATGTAATGTACTTCAGAGCTTGAACTATTTTAATTAGGTCACTTTGAACAATACAAAAAAAAAAAAAAGGTAACAATTTTTCTTTTAAATACTTAATTTGATAAATTAAATCTTATTCTGACAGTTTTGCTTTTTCACAGAGAAGATGATTTGATGTAGTGCACTTGCCAAATGTTTATTTGACTTCTAATTTTCAACGATCCTATCAAAATTATATTCAATGATTGAGATATTACTTTCATGAAGATTATGACTCATCCGGTATCGTATAAATTGTTAGCGATGCTATAAATCAATTACTGGAATTACTTACAACTTCTTTTCGCGACATTTCGCCAGTTTCTACCGGGTTCTTCAAGGCCTACTCCCCGTTCATGTCCGATATTACCTACGTACAATCATACTTATTTCCATCTTAGGATAGCAATAGTGTACGGACACCAGGAATCCATACCAACATGTACACTTACCAATGTTAATCTCACACAGTGATCCCGTGTACCCTTCGGGACACTCGCAAGAGAAATTTCCAAAATCATTGTTACAGGATCCTCCATTGTAGCAGGGGTTCTCATACCGACATTCATCGTTATCTGGGAGCAGCAAGTAAGGAAATGTAATATATATGGATTGGATAAAAGCATATTTGAAGTAGAGGAAAACGAGGAGAGACATTTCTAAAAGTTTGGAGGAGGATGTACCGTATTTACATATTTAACAAGCAAACATTGTTACCTGGGATCACTAAGTAAAGAAAGTTTGTTATGAACGGATTTGATAAAAGCATATCTAAAGGATAAAAAACGGGGAGAACGTCTCTAAACGTTTGGAAGAAGGGCAGACCACAGTCACAGATTTAACAAGTATTTTCATTGTTTTCAGGGAGATTCAACATTCATCAAACAGTCCTTCTTGTTATAGGTTTACCTACAGATATTTTTAAGGGCCTTGTAGCTCTGTAAGTTGAATAAAACACCTAATATTTATTGTGTAATCCCATTAATTAGGCAATAATAAAATTGTCTTTTGCATAAAGAAAACGAAACTAAGGAATGACTTGATTTAATGTAATTTCTCAAAACAAAAAAATAAATGAATAATATTTTTATTATGCGACTGACTGGAAAGCTCCCCAGGAAATGGAGAATGTGCATACATTGTCTGTAGGCAAGCCTAAATTCGACGACAAACTTAGGTGTATATATACAAGTGCGAGAATTCTCAACTCTGACATGACAACGGGTGTTCCAGAATATGTAGGCGTGAAGAAAAAGGTCTAGGACCGTGAGACGTAGCTGTACTTTACAAGTTTATTACGAGCTTTCGGCTTGTGAGGCCTTGTATGCCTCTTATGCCTTGTAAGCCATGTATATTTGTTCATACAATGTATTTGTATTTGTATGTGTTTGCACTTCAGAACCTGAAGAAGGCCTCACAAGCCGAAAGCTCGTAATAAACTTGTAAAGTACAGCTACGTCTCACGTTCCTAGACCTTTTTCTTCACGCCTATATATATATATATATATATATATATATATATGTAATGCGCTTAGAGACATCGCCGATGCATCAAGCACTATATAGACCCAGAATATTATTATTTTACACCTGGATTGAGAGTGGAAATCTATTAAAAAATAACTCAGTTTTTATATAGCGCAAATTACAATTAAGTCTCTAAGTGCTTCCAAACTTGGAGATTATTACCCCGGCTTTAGCTATGCTGCCATTAAGGCGGTCTAGCATTTCAAGGAATTAACTCCTGCCAGGTACCCATTTACATCACCTGGGTTGAGTGTGGCAAATGTAGATGTCTTTCCAAAGGACATATCATAATAGCATATCGTTATTGCATGTCATGCTGCTGTCATGCAACAGTTATTAATTTCTGGTCAAGGGACGTTTGTCCCGGGTCGGGATTTGAACTCTCAACCCCCTTTATTGAAATACAAGCAAAAGAACCACTCAACCACGACACTTCCACATATATGACTGACCTTGAGTACAATCCTTTCCTTTGTATCCATCCAGGCAACTACATTGGTAACCATCTATGAGGTCCATGCAAGTGCCTCCATTTCGACAAGGATCTCTCTCGCATTCATTTAGATCTGTAGATAGAACAACATAGAACATGACATTTCGTTACTGAATTACATGAAGCAGTTATGATAACAAAATTATTAAGAAAGATCAAGTTAGGAAATTTGACTGTTGAACATCGGATAGGATTAAATCATAGTGGAGTCAATTTCAGGAAGTGTACACACAATTATGAGCATATAATGGTACTCTAAAATACCAAATGAGATCTAACACCCGCTAGTAAGTACTGTATTAAAATGTGCATTCGCCCCAGAATCATCTTTTATTTCATTGTTCTCTTAATAAAGAATCAGAACAGATTGATGGGATGTTTAAATATAATGTAGAATAATATACTTTCGTATTATGAATCTTACACGTTTTTTTGTTTGCACGTTTCTGATGAGTTTAACTTTTAAATGACTCGTTAATCAAATGTACATTTAAAACTATCAGGTCGTATAGTTATTTCTCATTGTATGATGTTTACATGATATAGTTTGGATGTTGGTTTATTCAAAAGGCAAGCCTGGATAAAGTACGTTTAATGATTCCCAAAATAAAATGTTCAAGAACCTGCTATTCGTTCAGCGAGTGCATACATGGCGAAACCCCTTCCGCTTGTCTGATTCCCTGTTTGGAATCTTATCCAGAGGGAGTTGATCGGTGAGACGACGAACCCCACAATGTCGTCATCAGCGGTGAGCGAATGCATGACGGGTTGCAGGATCGTTTGCCAGTGAGGACTGGTCCCGTAGCCTATCTCGATCAGGGTACCATCCTCGGATCCGAGATCAATATCAAAGATCAGGGCCAGGACCGTGTAATTGGTCGGGGCAACGATTCGCCAGATGTCGTAAAAGTTGGCAGGGTAGTTGGCAGGGTAATTGGGGGAAGAGATCTGTACCGTGTTGGTATGCATGTTGGCCATGACGGATATGACTGGATTATCATCTATACAGAGAGAGAGATAGAGATAGAAAGAGAGATAACAAATATAGATAGTTATAGAGAGATAGAGGGAGAGAGAAAGAGATAAAGATAGAGAGAGAAGAAAATAACAAGTGTTTTAACAGTGCTGTTTTGGTTTAAAAAGGCGTCAGTGATAATTATTGGTTGAGTAATCGAGTGAATCGATTTCTGGGCACTGTTTCATTAACCTTGCTATGAATACCAACTGTCACAAGTCTACAACAAATTTACCCACGGCTTATACACAACATTACATTCTGTATCTTAAATAACATCGCTATCCAGTGGTGGGAAAAGGAATACCTGTACTCTTTTGAGAAACATGTACTTGAGACACATTCCAAAGGGGATCTGTAGTTATGATCATTGTACTTCAAAGAATCAATATCAATAAGCTGTCAGCCAGACGCAAATGATGCCTTACATTTTCGATTAAAACTATTATGATGGTATATCTTTTATGACTACTGAGGTTATATTTCTTTTAAAATCACCATGATTATACATCCTTTTTACCTACGATTTAGAAGAAAACCATACAAAGTTAGAAGATGAAATATCCCGACAAGCTTTGAGAGTAAAAAAAAACGAAAATATTCTGCAGGGGGTTAGATAATTACCTATTGGATCCACGGAGTTCACTTCAACCTCAAACCCGGCGTCAGTATATAAGTAGTCACTGACAAACCTCATCCACATGTGACGTCCAAGTGACGTCACAGACCTGCTGACGACATAACTCGTCATTCTCGCCAACTCGGTAGAACTTTGAGGAAACAGTCCATCGCCCACGTACAGATAATCGTAGTTGCTCTCTAGGAAAAGTTCAACGACGTCCAGCCTTACGCTGCGGCCGACTGGGGCCGATATCTTCCAGACGATGACGTCATTGGTGTCGTAGTTCATCGGGTAGTTCGGAGACGCGATGGATGTGGGAACGCCGTTGTCAAGGTCAACTTCGTATATCCCCGGTGAGTATGCTGATGGGAGAATAAAGTTAGTATCAAATCATTGTCATTTTCTCATTTATGACTGATGTTTCACAATTTTTCTTGAGTTGGTCGAGACTTAATTATTAACTGTCACATGAAAATCAAATTTAAATTGTAATAATATGATCTTATTATCATTCTAGACATTTTGATGATTCACATTAACAAAAAGAAAAAGTGATTTTGAAAGAAAACTGCTTGACCCCAAGCTTAATAATGGCATAATTTCTACAGATAAAAATTGAATGGTTTGAATCGTGAATTGATCTCCACGTGTTAAAAAAGACTAATTAGAAAGTTTATATAAACAGATTTCAAAAATAGACATCAGTATATTATTCTAACTTCCCGAGAATGAGCAAGTGGCAACTATTCAATCGCTTTCTTCCAAAATTTCGGTGTAGTCTGATCGTAAAGAGCGCGATGGCATAACAGCTTATACTTACCATTCGAAACCACAGCTGTAATAAAATCTTGGAACTGTGAGATTCGGGTATAGACACCCGGGAAGAGTGGTCTTGCGCATCCATCTCCAAAGCTTGTTGCTCCGACAAGATGCCATCGACCGTCATCGCCCTCACAGGTCAAAGGCCCACCGCTGTCGCCCTGTCGCCATATGGTAAACATTATTATTGGAATTAAAGAATGTTTTCCTCCTCCCCTCCTTCTACTCTACTCCTTCTCACCCCGAACCCCTTCTGCTCCTATTCCTTCTCGTCCCCTCCTCATCCCCTTCTTCCTCGTCACATGTATTGTCTTTGCCCTCCCCTTCTTCCTCGTTCTCTTCCTCCTCTACCCCTCATTTTCCTCCATCCTCTTCCTTCCTCCTTGGCACTTTGAAAATACATAGAAAATAGCCGTGTCTGCATTTGTCTCTCATTTGGAGTGTTTGTAAGTTGTTGCTGACTGTTCTCCTCCTCCTCCTCCTCCTCCCCCTGTCCTCCTCTCCACTTCCTCCTCATCGTACATTTCCTTCTTCAACATCTCCCGCCCCCTCCTCGTTCTTAGATCTCGACTATTCATGACCATCATAGGAGACTGTGCAAAATTATCCCTCTTTTTTAAACAAATTAAAGTAATTTGACATTTATTTACCTGACAGGTATCAATTATTCCTCGTTCGTACCCAGCACATATCATGTTATCCGTCAGTGTACCGTTGTAAGAAACGTCGGAATTGCACCTTTCTTGGTCCAGAAGGTTAACCACCGCTTTTTGTAAAGTCTCCGAAGGATCTGTATACATTTTTCATAAACTTAGCCTTCTTGATGATGCTGATGAGTAAATAAAATGACCCATGTTTCCATAATACGAAACTGTTTGTATTTATGTTGCATTATCTCTCAACAAAAGGTCGGTTACAAAAACAACTATAATGCTACGCCCCTTTATTTCGACATGTCTAAGTTTCGTCACCATTATGTTTCGACACCTCAAGTTTCGTCACCCCTATGTTACGACATCCTTACTTTTCGACAACCCTATCTTTCGCAATCCCGCCGTTCAGACATTCCTATGTTACGTAACCGCTATGTTTCAACAACATTAAGTTTTCGACATCCCTATGTTTCGACAACCTATGTTTCGACAACCCTATATTTCGATATCTCTACGTTTCGACAACCCTATGTTTGAAATTTCTAAGTTACGTAACCCGCGTTTTTATACCCCTATTCTTCGTCATCCCTGTATTTTTCCATCCCTATGTTTCAGTTTACCCCCGCCCCCTCCCCCTACGTTGTATGGGTTCATCCATATGGTCCTCTTTTACCCCTACGTTCTGGTTTCACCCCTTAGTTCAGACCGCTCTTCTGTCTGCCGATACCTATATGTACTGATAGTCCTATGCTTAAAAAATGCCAATATTCCGACACCCCTGTGCGCAGGTGCCCCTATTGTATATGGCATACGACACCCATCTGTTCCGACGACCCCATGTGTCGCCTTCTCTACAACACAGGCCACGCAAGCACTTGCTTAATTAACCAATTCTTATATGGGTCAGTTTACGCAAAACTTATCCATGGATGCAGTCACATACATATTGCTGGAACATAGGCTTGTTAGAACATAGGCTGATCAACGCTAAATATCAAAGATTAAAATACCGTACCTCCCCCTTCAGAGATAGCCCCCCAACCAGCAACGAGGCATCGACGATAATCACTCAGTTCATTTGACGATGAGGCTAGACATGCTGGCCTAACGTAATCAGTGAAAGACACCGGCTCAGTCAGACGCAGTAGAGCGATGTCCGCGTCCAAGGTCTCGCCGTCGTAGTCGGGATGGATGATGATATCGGCCACTTCGGCATTCACTTCGTACTCGGACTCACCTGACAGCCGAAGTATTCCAAAGATCACCCGATCAAGGTAGTATTGTCTAGGAGGAAAATATAAAAACGAAAGAGCAATTCAGGACCTATGACATAATTGCGATAAAACCATAATGCGCGTTGCACACGAGGCGTCATTAGGGACTTTTCGATTTGCACGTTCACTAGTGGACTGCGACGTATGCGGTCACTTTTGAAGCAGTGCGCATGCGCATCGACGAGCTCATCGTTCGTAGCAGAATTCTCGAACGTGTTCGCCCTTGTTTTGCCGTCGTTCCCAAACTGTGACGATACATGTTCGTAAGCAATCTTTTGTAGGCACGTTCAAATTGAAGTCACAAAATGGACCCAATTGACCTAATTCTAGAACCGGAGAGTGGTGGAAGCGTGAATTCTCTTAAATTAACACATTTTCGTGTCTGTAATTTCTCTTAAATCAAAATTGTTGCATAATTATATATGAAATGAACACATTTTGTTTGTGCATCGCCAATCTGTTGCAGCATTATTTTCGAGATTAGTCCCATGCACCGAATTTGGTGTGTTGAATCTTTAGCTTTTCGATCGAATTTTGCGCTCACTAAGCAGAATCTATCATAAATTGAACACATTTTATTCATGCAACGCTAATCTGCTGCAGCATATTTTTTTAGAACAGTGCCATCCACCGAATTTGGAGTTATATCTTTAGCTATTCGATCGCGTTTCGCGCTCACTAAGCGAGCGTCGTAGTTGTGTAACATCGAAAAGGTAACGAACAACAGTCAGCGTGCCTCGTCAACCCTGCTTAAAAGTGACCGCATACGTCGCAGTCCACTTATGAAAGTGCAAATCGAAAAGACGCTATTGTGACTTCGTTATTATATGATAATCAAACCTAAAAAAAAATAGAATTTAAATCGTCACAAGGACGATTAAGGTGGTCTGTCTTCAAGTCTTATGATAGATTATAATATTTACTATATTGAGAAAGGGAGAAGTTATATAGACATGTAAACAATGATGATCATCATGATGATCATGATGATGATGATCTTGATAGTAATGGGGATGACGATGATGATGATGATGATCATGATGATGTTGATGATTATCATCAACAGACCACGATGACATCAGACTGAAAAAAATGAGAGAACATTTAGATAGTATATAGTCTCAGCTACAACATACTCCAAAATCAACAAAAATCAAGCCGAAATAACGGCGATATTGCTCGCAAAAGACAAGAATGTAGAATCCAGATTTGAGAAAAAGTCATCTCCCATAAGGATTACACGCCAAAAGTAATGGATCAAGTGATAATAGGGTAATATTAAAGTAAATATGGTTGTTTATTACATTATTTGCGATTGTACGTGTTTTAATATTCAAAGGAGATGGTACAGTGAAAGGTCAAAAAGAAAAAAAAGTGAAGAAAAAAAATTGTTGGAAACGCCCGGACTCGAACCAGGGACCTCGAGGTCGGAAGTCAAGTGCGTTACCGATATACCAAAACATTTCCATAGAGATTACACGTAAACTGAAAACTGAATTCTCAAATCCCACTTTGTAAGTGAAATATGAGCATGATCCCGGCATCTGATCTAAAAATAAAGGGCACATTTGTGATAGCGTATTGTCTCAGCTACAACATACTCAAAGCTCAGCGTAAACAAAGATACAACGACGGAGATATTGCTCGCAAAAGACGAGAATGTAGAATCCAGTTTTGAGAAAAAGTCATGTCCCATAGAGAATACACGCAAAATGTAAAAAATTGACATGCCTCCTTTAATCGCAAAAATACGCCATGATACCATTGTCAAAATGAAAATTCGTGGTGACTGTATTTGTAGAGAATATTCTCAGGTAGAACATATTAAAATTTGAAACAAAATTGATTCATATTTACAGAGATACAATCAATTTTCCAAAAATCTGCTGACGTCATAATATGCAAATTGAAATTTTGAGTTCGGAGGCCATTATGATGACGTCATGAGTTAATTGAGGGTCAAATGAGACATGAAATCATACCTCCAACTCATAATCTATTTAAATATGAAAGAAATTGGGGGTTATCTATCAATTCTGAAGAGTTAAAATGAATTTTGTATAGGCATGTTTTTGCCCATGTATTGTGGATACAGATAGCGCAGGTCGGCGCGTGCGTTCAACTTTGACAGCCGCTAATTGCGGTATTACTGGTCGGAAACAGGTAAACAAGGTATCAAAATGCTTGGAAAAATGTAATAAATATGATAACAGAAAAAATTTGGCGATTCTATGTTGCAAAATGCCAGGACGCGCGGATACGCGCGCGCATAATTACGCGCGCGCAAATTTTGAAAATGCTTAAAATGGCCTGAAACGTATGCAAAATTAATTTGGAACGAATTTGACCATTTTTAAATGTTAATGCGCGCGTACGTGCGCGTCGAGGTGCGCGCTCAGAATTTTTTGACATTTTTCGTTGACCTTTGACCTGAAGTTGATGTATACCAAATATGGTTGATTTTTGATAACTCGTTATCGAGATATGATAATGACCTGATTTTTACAAAATGGCGCCTGGATGACGTCACGATGATCCCATGAACTTGAAAAAGTTAATTAGACTTGAAATCATAGGGCTTGATGACTGACAGAAATTCAAAGGAAATTGACCATGTCGATTTCGAGTAAACGTGTGCACAAAAAAGTGTACGGAAGAAATAAAAATAAAGAAAGAAAGAAAGAAAGAAAGAAAGAAAATTCTAGCGAAATCAATAGGTGATCTGTCGTTGACAGACCACCTAAAAAGCAATTGTTCGAGGGTACAGCCGTTGCGCACGATGCGTCACTTCGACAGCGTTATTCCTTTGTTTAAAGTGATGCTTGCATTTCCATAATTTGATTTAAAAAAAAAAAAAAAAAAAAAAAAAAAAAAAAAAAAAAAATCGTTTTCATCGGCTGCCTGCCGTAGCAGCAAGCAGAATTGACAAAGGACTTAACTCCGTTTTATTGACAATCAGCCATGCATGAAGTCTTTCGTCTATATCTGATCGTCAACGAAACGGAGTTAAGTCTTTTGTCGATTACGTTTGTTGCTACGGCATGCAGCCAGTGAAAACAAATCCGTTTTTATAGTTTCCTTCCTTCAAACTGCTTTTAATCACTCATGCGTGAAATATGCATCATATGATTTGCATCAGATGAAAGAGGAGGATCTAAGCTTTACAGATATGCGTCAATTTAATTATAATTGTGATTAAGTTATGATAAAACATCGATAATTCTCGGTTTCATTTTCTGGGTCGCATTGTATATATGACATACCGTACATCTCCGTACACTGGGTAGGCTATGACTAATATTATATTAAAATGAGATTGGACAAAAATAAATAATTATTTTACCAAGACATTAAAAGAAAGAGATGCGAAGAAATTGGCAACAATAGTCAAATTTGACTAATTGCCATTATAATACCAAACGAAGAAGAAGAAGCAGCTTCGCTGTTTTGATTTTTAGCAGACACCGTAGTACGTTAGAAAACCTTAATTTTCCTACAAGACAAGTCGAAATTGAAGGCACCGATTTGTGCTTGTGAACTTGTCACAAATGATAGTAAAAATGCCGTTTTTAAAGCTAAAGATGACAGACAAATTTCCTCCGAGTCCAAACAGAAATTCGGACATAGGCTAGTTTGGTTTTAGTTTCCGATTGGTGAGTCTACATCCCATGTGTGAGTGAGCTGAGGCCATGCCGGTGCTCTACCGGGTACAGGTGAGCGTCGGCCGGAAGAATGCTACTGCATGCTAGCTAGGTGAAGTTGCATAAATCGAGACTTAAAAAAAAATAAAAAAAATAAATATCTTCCCTTCAAATTAGGAACGTAAGTTAACTTCAAATAGTAGATCCTATTCTTTATTTGCATTATGTTATTTATGTTGAGACACAGTGATGGTCTAAAACCACTAAAAAGTAGTATTTTGAGGACTCAAAACATCCTGTACCTGTCTGTAAGACGCACCCCAACTTTCGATTTTTCTGGCGGAAAAAAGTGCGTGTTATACACGGCGATTTACGGTAATGGAAAAAACAACAAACATAGTTACAGCAGTTGTACATGTGTCATTATCTGATGATAAAACGAACTACATAATCGTTTTTTTATACAAAGAACCCGCTCAACTTCAACAAAACGTTTAAGATATTCTTGAGTGAACCTAATGAAAACCGTTCTCCTTTCCATTGTGTAGAGAATATAAATTGTTTTTCATAAAAAATGAAAAGGTTAAAGCTACATTGTTTACCATCTAGAAAATCAAACAAAACAAGAATCGTTATTCAAATGCACTGCATTGTTAAGAAGAGAGCTTTGGGAGTCTTGAATAAATTAATGGGTAGAAGGGCGGTCCCAAAATAAGTGTGAAAATACTTTTGACAGAGGATAAGCAAAATGTACATAAATTAGAATCAGCCGAACCCGAAGTATAACAATATATGTTGACCCCAAGTATTAAATTCTGAATTGAAAATAAAAAAAGCTTTGTGGAAAGCAACATTTGAAAGGGTAGAAGCATTATTTTCCAGTTTTGAACAGGATCACTTAAAATCGTAGTCCATTATATTTCAGGATCTTTTCAACAGAAAAGCCGGGTAATAATTGCGGAGCGCCAGGAGTGTCAAGTCTGACAGAGATGAGCGCTATACCAGAACCCACTGTTGTTATTATAACATTCTTAAAAAAACATCTAATGTATTAAATCCTTCTGGTTTTCTTTTAGCTTAAGGTAGATTAAGGACTGAGTAAAATTTGAAATGATGGTAATTATGAACCTCTGTTATTGAAATTGAAATTGACGATGTTAAAGCTGCAATGGTTTATCAATAAAAAACATGTTATTATTCTTTAAAATGAATCGCGGCTAAAAGCCGAATTGAGAATTCTTTTACCTATCAAAAACACAAAATATGTACAGTACGCAATAACAAAAGAACATAATAATGAAATAATATGTATTCAACAAGACATTCGGGGAGTTTATTAAAACAAATATCACCAATACAGATGAACTTTCATGGAAGTATTAATGTTTATGGATGTGAGGTTAATATACAAATAATGCACTGCAGTGAGGGCATTAGTAAGAACTACCCACACAAGGTACCTTTGGAACAGTCTAACACGCCCGAGGCGATAGCCGAGGGTGTTTGGACTGTTTCAAAGGTAGTGAGTGTGGGTAATTTTACTTTTGCCCAAACAAAATGCTGTGTATTATATGTTTTATAAAAGTATGGCGTGGATCCCGACTATTTGATAAATCATCCTCATCTCAAAGTCCATACATTACTAATTGTAGGTCTACATCTGTGACTGATCTAGATCTAGTTAAGATCTATTTCTAGTTTTTTGACGATCAAAACATGATCATTAGCGATCATTGGCGATCATTGGCGATCAAAACATGATCGCCAATGACCGTCATTACCATAGGATAATGACCGGTAGTTTCGCGTTAGGCTAAATAAATGCATGATCACGTGTACGATTTCACCTAATCATTTGATTTGGATCTACGTCATCATTGTATAAAGGGGTATAGGACATAGGGATGTTGGTAAAGATGAGTGTCAGAACAGAGGGCCGTTATTGTATAATACTTACACGCAATGGGCAGCCGTGAGCACCCATTGTGAGCTAATCAAGGTAGCCCCGCATGCGAAAGTACCTCTATCGGACCCCTCGTCTACCCTCAAAGATCCAATCCAAGGGAATTCCCCTGGGCGTGCATTGATACCCCCAACAACTCTGGATTGGCCCAGCGAGTAGGCAGGGCGTGTCCCGCAGATACTGGTATCAAGCAGATCTGTGAAGAAATTAATTATGTTGCATAGGATATAAATTACAGTCAAGAGTCAAGGGTTATGCGAAACGACCTTTTTGCTTCGTAACTTACCGGTATTCTTAGAATAATTATTTGTCATAAATTCATAACTTTGCAGTTTCACCATATGGATAGTCCTGATAGAACTGTTTGGGTTTGAAAAGGGATAGAAAAGAAAGAGAGTGATGGCGATATTTTTATTTTTGTTTTGTCATGTGGAGAATTATTTGGTATTGCACGGAAAGAGGTAGATAAATTTATAAGAAAGTTCTTCTTTCGTGAGAGAAGTCCTGAGAAGGACTGGTGAATCAGGCTATGCGGAGTGAGATGGAGGCCTGATGAAATAATAATATGAGGCATTTCTATAGCGCCGTCTATCTAGAAATTCTATTCCGAGGCGCAATATTTTTTACCCCGGCTTTAGCCTAGCTGCCATTACAGCGCTCCAACATTTCAAGGAATTAATTCCTGCCAGGTACCCATTTACCTTACCTGGGTCGAGTGAGGCAAATGAAGAGTAATGCCTTGCCAAAGGACATTAGTGCGCTGTCGGAAATCAAACCACGACCTTTGAATTTCAAGTCAAGTGCTTAAACCATCCGACTATACTATGACACTTCTACACACTGTTGTTCCGAAGGGGATGACCGTTAGTCATCATAATTGGTATCGAAAAGATCTTTGAAGTAATGATGCTGAATACAATATAAATTACAGTCAAGGGTTGTACGAAACAACCTTATTCATCGTGTTGTTTAAAAGAATGCGTTCATGGTTCTTGGTGGACTGCATTATACTTGATATACTACGTCATATTTGAAATTAGACAGTCATGTCGCTCTGTCAGAAATTGGCCTAGCTCTTATGTAGTGTTCTCTTTACGAAATGTAGAACTAGCCACTAGCCAGAACACTGACTTTTTAGAAATATATGTTTTGTTTGGAATGATCAGATTAAGAGAATGATGTCCCATATCCCCCCTAATATTGTCATTCCTATTCATTGAAAAAAACAAGTTCTAAACAGTTAGGGATATTTGATAACTTGTCTATTTTTAATCGGACAAAATAAAACATACTTCAAACAAAGATGGACATAACTCTCTTTCATTTTTTCTCGTTATTACTTCATAGGTGGCCGAGATTTTTTCGATGGTTTATTAGTAATCCTTCCTTATTCTATGTAGTGTGGCCTCCAAAACCTTTGAATGTTCAACACAAAATTAGACATGATATTTAGATGTTGACCTTACCTCCTTCTGCAGCAAAACATAGACCTTCACCAGCATAGTCGTCTGTCAACTGAGAGCAGTCAAAGGGCCAGGGACGGTTGAGGGACTGCTCGAAGGGGTCTTGGCAGGCATCAGTGGTGGCGACACAATCCGAGTAGCACACCCTTTGGGCGGGGCCGTTATGGGTGCATTCTGGATACAGTAGGTTGCAAGTCAGGCTCAGGAGATTTTCGTGACAGGACGAAATGCTGGATACCTGGATAATTAACAATATTGGATGAAACCATTTATGACCATGCAAATGTCTTATCCATTTTCATTTGAAAACCAAAATATACCTCAGACCTAAGGTCGGCCTAAAGCCTTTATTAGTCATAAGTATGACAGAAGATTTTACAATTTCAATAAAGTGAACAATAGCCCACAGGCTATAAGGTCTAATATTAGTATTTATATGAAAGGCATGGAAGGTATTTTATTACAAACATAATTGTTGTATATTCAGCTAGACGAGATAGGTCAGGTTGTGTTTCATCAAGCAATTTATTCTCAAAATCAGTATTTAAAAAAATTATATTACGGACATAGGGTTCTTGTATAGCGCTCGTGTCTGTTATCAGGCGCGTACGCAGGGGGGGGGGGTTGGGGTTAAACCCCCCTTGAGTCTTTTTATGTATATGTTTTGTGTATGGTTTTTTGTGAACCCCCCCCCCTTTTGATTTTTTTTTTTTATAAAAAAAAAAAAAAAAAAATTATACCAATGGCTGACCTAAAAAAAAGGTGACCTTACCCCCCCCCCCCCCAACGGAACAAAATGTCAAATTTTAAAATTTCGAAACCAAAATAAAAAAAGTGTCCTCTTACCCCCCCCCCCACCCTCCCCCCACTGAGCGACTTTTCGGCTGGTTGAGTCATTACGATTTTTTTTGGACTCCCCCCCCCAAAAAAAGTGTCCGCTTACCCCCCCCCCCCCCCCCCCCCCCCCCCCCCCCCACTGAGCGACTTTTCGGCCGGCGCGATTTTTCCAAATTTTCGGGAGCAAATTTTTCGGGCCCGATTTTAACCCCCCCCCCCCCCTTGAAAAAATCCTGCGTACGCCACTGTCTGTTATACTCGACTCTCATGGCGCTCCATTAATATTACCCCGGATTTATCATGCCTCTGTTATGGAGCTCTTGCTATTCAAGGAACTTAATTCCTTCAGAGTACCTATTTGCTTCACCTGGGTGGAGAGTGGCAAATGAAGAGAAAAGTCTTGCCATAAGATAGTAGTGCCGTGACAAGGATTAGTACTGTGCTTCTTAGTCCGTGTACTTATCCACTAGTCCACGAGATCCATGTAATGTTTTTTTTAATCCTCTTTTTTTTAGGGGGGGGGGGGGAGGAGGGTAAACTTACTATTTCTGTAAAGTTTCTCTCTGCGTCCTGTGCATTTTGTGCCAAGCGATGCGGGAAGAGGGTGGTGTTGTAAGCCAGTCTTTCCCTGCAAACCTCTAGCTGTACTGGCTCACAAATCGCTTTAAGTCGGAAAGAAAAATAGATGTTTAGAAGTCACAATATTTCGTTTAATAAAGTAGCATTGTCATTAGGTAAGATACGTTTCAGTCATCCGGGAAGCAAAACGTATATTTCAACGAATAACACTTATACTCATATAGCAGATCAGTATGTTTGCGTATATATTTATCTGTTATTAACATGTTGGTATAGGAAATGTCATTAATTTTTATAATGCCGACGCAAATATGTCAATATGAAATTTCAGCTTCGGCTGGTTTGGATAAAGAAGGATATGAACTAAACATGTTTTTCGATGGCATGAACATTTCTTCACTGCCGGATTAATTGGTTAATTTCGAACACATAATCATTTTTTAATGCGTCAAACTAGGCGCCATATTGACAAGGGTCATAGTTACATACTTCGAAGTTATCTTGTAGTTAAAGGGCGAGTCCACTTCGAAATGAACTTACTTACAATAGAAGCAGCAAAGTCGGAAAAACCAAGCAAAAAAGGTTTGATGTGTTCCCCAGCGTATAGCTAACTTTGAAAACTCGTTGTTTCGTTCCCGTGTGAACCCTCTTCGTGGTAGTGCATCATTGTAAACAACTACGAGGTTTTGCAAACTTACAGCGCGTCCCAAAAAAAACGAAATCGAGAATTATCGATGTTTTATCATAACTTAATCACAATTATAATAAACACATTAGATCCTCTTCTTTCATTTGATGATATTTTCACAAATGAGCGGTTAAAAACAATTTAAAGAGAGGACACCAAAAAGTTATTTGGCGGGCGGTATCTGAATTTGCATCAAGTCTTTCGTCTTCTTTGTGCATGGCTGATCGTCAATGAAACGGAGTTAAGTCTTTGTCAACAATTATGGAAATGCAAGCATTAATTTAAACAAACAAAAATTTGTTATTCCTGGCTCATTTTTCCTGATATAAAAGAGCAGAAATTGAACTTTCTAGAAATGTTATTTTCTTTTCGAAATTCAGATACTGCACGCAAAAAACTGAGGTGCTAAATGTTGGGTGCTGAGTGAGACTCTGCACTTGAAGTGCCAAAATCAGCACTTGACGGGTTAACTTTAACAAGGAAACCGAAACGTGCTGAATATTTGAGTGCAGAAAACGAGTGCTATAACAATATGCAGCACTTAACATCGAGTGCTGACTGCATAACCTGATCTGATTGGTCGGTTAGTATAATAGCTGTTACCTTGTGAATATTTGTTTTTGAATCAAATTCAGCTAAGAGATTCTTACATTCTTCATTCTCCAGGTCAATACCCAAGGCCTCAAAAGTCTGAATAACTTTGCTCCTTAAACTGTCAACAGCATCAGTATTCAAAGCTGTTGCAGCAGATAACACTCTGTTTGTCATAGCATGGGGCATGTTGGTGTTTGATAAAAGAGAACCAATGAAAAATGCAGCTGGTCTCACTATGAACATGACAGACAATGAAAGCGGACAAAATATACAGTTCCTCAGGTAGACAAAGGAACATCCCTTGACTGCTATTATGTAAAATGTGTAGAACAGGTGAATATGCATGTGACACCTGTTCTACACATTTTTACATAATAGCAGTGAAGGGATGTTCCTTTGTCTACCTAAGGAACTGTATATTTTGTCCGCTTTCATTGTCTGTCATATTCATAGTGTCTTATACTGTCATTATGCATTGCTCCATCTTGTTCTTGTAGGAGGCCTATCCTATCATCATCATCATCAAATGCATCATCTGCTGCAGGATTATGCACTTCACCAACAGCAACACCCAAATCAGCATCAACTAGACCCTCCATACCCTGTACAACTTCAGGTTCAGGTTCTTTTGTGGATGTTGGTTTAATAAATGTTTCCTGTAAGAGTTGAAAGTGGTAAATGACGAAGGACATCCACCTTGACCACATACCAAATGTAGATGGGGCATGTCAAACAACGCATGAGTTAGCACTTGCACAAGGGCTATTCTGCTAGCACCCAAAAGAGAGCAAAACTTGGCACTTTAAGTGCACAACAGTCAGCTCCTTTGGGTGCTAGCAAAGTAGCCCGGGTGCAAGTGCTAACTCAGCACTTCGAGTGCAGTCACTATGCGAGCTCCTAAAAAGTGCTAAAATTGAATCTTTAAGTGCTAAATTTAGCACAACAGTCAGCTCCTTTGGGTGCTAGCAAAGTAGCCCGGGTGCAAGTTCTAACTCAGCACTTCGAGTGCAGTCACTATGCGAGCTCCTAAAAAGTGCTAAAATTGAATCTTTAAGTGCTAAATTTAGCACTTTTTTTTTTGAGTGTGCCCGCCAAATGACTTTTTTTTGGTTTCCTCTCTTCAAATTGTTTTAAATCACTCACGCGTGAAAAATGCATCAAATGAAAGAGGAGGATCTAAGCTTTACAAATACGTGTCATTTATTAGTTATAATTGTGATTAAGTTATGATAAAACATCGATAATTCTCGGTTTCGTTTTTTCTGGGACGCACTGTACACTCTAAAAATTCAAGTGCTAATTTTAGCACCTCAAGATTTAGAGGCAGCACCTGTAAGGGCACACAAGGGACTGCCCAAATTGTGCTAAAGTAGCACTTGTACACGTGCCATAATTCAACACCAGTCCAAGTGCTACTTCAAACACTTTAAGTGTAAGCCTTGTTACACTTCTGGTGCTATTAGACGCATGCAGCTCGCAAAAACCACACTTCTAGTGCATTAAATAACCCCTTTTAGAGCCCCCAAAACGGCACCACTAGTGCTAACACTTTTGCACCCAATATACACTATGAACATGAAAGACAATGAAAGCGGACAACATATACAGTTCCTCAGGTAGACAAATGGACATCCCTTCACTGCTATTATGTAAAAATGGGTAGAACAGGTGTCACATGCATATTCACCTGTTCTACACATTTTTACATAATAGCAGTGAAGGGATGTTCCTTTGTCTACCTGAGGAACTGTATATTTTGTCCGCTTTTATTGTCTGTCATGTTCATAGTGATAGTGCTAAAGAACACACACGAACAGCATGCACAAAATCACACCTGTAGTGCTGAAAAATCACCATTCTGTTAAAAAGCCCTAACGTTAGTTTCAGCCTACTTTAAGCACCTAAAACATACCCCTCGAGACGCCACATGTCACACTCATGGTAACGAATGGGAAGTTTTTACTGTTACATTGAGATTGCACATTTCTATGTCAATTACATGCAGTGGTAGTCTTGCTGCCATGTAGAATGTTGAAAATGGTATCATCATGCACAAGCAGAATTATTAGGCAATGAAAAGAATACCTTCTCAGATCCCCGCTCTTTTATAGCCGAGTGGCGACCTATTTCATTTGAATTTTAAATTACTTTGAATTTCTTTTGTGTGAAGCACTGCGTTAGCACCTGGAACGCTGGTGCGCCTGCGCATGGAGCGCCAGCACTACCGTAGTTTCTTCAAGTGCTCAAACAGGCAGGGTCACACTTCGGGTGCAATTTCTCGAATAGCACGTGTTTCCAGCACTCATTTTTCTGCTCGTCATCGCTTCCCAAACGCTGCATGCACGACAAGGGCTACACTTGGCACTCAGCACTCAGCACCCGTGATTTAGCACTTCATTGTTTAGAGTGTATAACTGCGACAGTGCCGTGTAAACATAACTAATTTGTGTGACTTACGACATGAATCTTCGTCTGAGAAGTCCAGACAGTCGTTGAAGCCGTCGCATATTTGTGATGGAGAAATGCAGAGCCCGCTCCTGCATTGAAACTCATCACCTTGGCAAACTGGAATTTCAAGTTAGGAGAGAATAATAGAGAGGAATAGTGCGTTAAGGTCTATAGAGATCGATGATGTAATGGCAATCGTCGTCATAATTTCTTAAAGTCATACCCACCTTACCTATTTATGTTTGTTGTAATATTATATGATTGTAGCCATTACATAGTTATTTACGTATGTATGTACATAACATTTTGTTTATTCTTTAAATTCGTAATATTCCACGTTGTGCGTTTATTTTGTAACTTTCTATTATCATTTATACAATATTCTTATGAAAATGATATATTTAGGCTTAAAATACAGACATCTGTTCAATATCCTCGTATGCTTTAGTCTAGCATAATCCTACCCATAATGACATCTAAAATAATAGCAACAATTAGCCCATTATCACAAATATTATTTATCATCATAATAATTACCTGGTAGCTCAACAGCAGTCAGGCGCGCATCAAATCCTCGATTTGTTTTTGAGACATCACTGGTAAATAAAATCCACATGGTATCACCAGGGGATCTTACTTCAGACGTGAAATTTGTACCAGTAAACCGGACCAGTACGCCAGATCCGGCACCATCGGGACCAGATCCGAAACCGACGATGAGGTTATCATAGTAATATTCGAGGGAAACATCGTTGAAAGTGGCGACAACTCCGGAGTTCTCGGGTGCCTGTACCCGCCATAGGATGTTGAGGTTGTCGCCGTAGTTGATCGGATAGTTAGGGGACGATATTTCGGTTTCCGAGTTATGAGATAGAGAAATGGGGTAGATGTCGTCTGCATAAAAATAAAATTGTATAAGGGGGGGGGGGAATGAAAACGGTGCTTATGAATCGCTTACCACCGAAGTCTCTAAGCACTATAACAAAATGCAAAGTTTGTGTGCAATTTCTGCCGGTAAGATATAATCATGTATTCAAATTTATATGAAATGTGCTGTATTTTTCATAAACAATGACTAGATACATAGAAAGTCCAATCTACAGCAAATCCACAATAGCGGTGAGCACGTCTTAATGTGCTCGTCTTAATGTGCATGTCTTAATGACCACTCCCGCCACTCATCCTCTCCAAGCGCTATAGTTCTCCTTAGAAGTATAAGCTAAGAAATATAACCAACAGTCTTTTTCAAGACTACACCAACAGTCCTTTTCTGGACTACAAAACACTCAAGAAAGATTACCGAGAGTCCTTTTCAGGACTCCTCAATCCTCCCTCTCTCTCACATGGTGCACCCGCAAGCCTATTGAACGTCTTAATGTGTTATGATATAACTAATTTCTACGAAAGTAGTACGCATTTCAAACTTCAAATCGGCAATACATTATTTTGAATGTTAAATTATCATTTAGTTTGAATTTCGTGTGTAAATTGTCCTCTTTCTTGTTTCAACTACATAATAGTTAAGGTGAAATAATACTAGTATAAGTATTATCTTACATGTATTTTGTGCAGATGTATACGGCAGAACAGAGACAGCCAATAACCCAAACACGATGTACATTTCCCCCATCTCTCTTCGTGAAACTTCTCCACCTATTGAGGAAAATAAAAGAATGTTTGATTACTGTGTAAAAGTTTCTAATGTTTCATAGAAGTTGCCTGCGGGCATGCTGTAAAATGGTTAACGTATCAGTGAAGATGGTAGGAAAATCTTACAATATAATTTGTCATTTGTCAATATAAAATAATTGTCAATATAATTTGTTAGCGCTTTGAAACTTTAATGTTAAGCGCGATATACATTTTTCGTATCACTATTATTATCATTATTAAGGAGGGTTCAGGAAAAGGCCACTTTCGATGCATGTTCTTTACAATTGGAAGATTGCTCTTTTTGGAGTTGTACCTGAAAAGGAAACAAAAATATTCAAAAAAATAAAAACATGAACAAAATTAATATTGCTTCTAACTGGTAAATTACATTGACCTTTTAAAATAATATAATATTCATTAAACGCTCAGTCAAAATAACATTTATGCGTATTTTAACCTCCGTATAAATCTTTTTACTTCCCAATATGGTGTGTTAGTGTACACTCCAAATATTAACTAAACGACACAGACATGTCTGTATTATTTAATGATGAATTATTTGGTGTTTTAAACTTTTCTCAATCTCTGGTAATCTCGTTGCAGAGAATAATTGTAATTGATATTTGTCCCACTCTTTCCACTTCGATCGCCATCATATATTTAACTCTGCAGAAGAAGAAGGCTTTCTCTTTTTATGTACCCCTTGGTGAAACCTTCTTTTTCTTTTCAAATCAGGAGTTTGCCATTTAGATCATCAACTATCCAGCAATGGAGCCCCCTTTGTGAAAACATACGTTATTTTTCGTAAAGCCAGACAGCATTGGATTGGCAAGGCCTGTGCTAATACCGGTATTTAATATTTAACTCTGCTGAAGAAGAAGGCTTTCTCTTTTTGTGTACTCTTGGTGAAATCTTCTTTTCTTTTCAAATCAGGAGCTTGCCATTTAGATCATCAACTATCCAGCAATGGAGACCCCTTTGTGAAAACATACGCTATTCTTCGTAAAGGCAGACATCATTGGATTGGCAAGGCCTTGTTTCGGTTCTGCATGGATATTTTGTGCGAACTGATTAATGTTCTCCAGTGGTACTGATGGGAATCTTTGGGCATTTATCACCGACCGTAATGTGACAGGATTGCAACGAAGCGAATAGTCCATGCTTAAGCCCCAGTCCTACGAATAATGATACCAATTATTAAATTCGTATTTATTTCATACACATCACATGAAAAAGTATAATTTTACAACGCCGGTGGGAAGGATATCAATACTCTAAAAAGCCCATGAATATCAGTGATTTAATTATTACTAAAAATCAAAAAGATATATATTCGTATATCCAAAATGACTAGGGAATTTATTTTAAAAAAAACATAATTATTCGGCATTTAATGCCTGCAATCTGTACACAGAGTGCAATTGCGAAACGCATTCACTCCGAAAGCAAAGAACATTATTGAGACGAAATCTGATTAATACTGTAAAGCAAATGGCGGACTTTTTGGCTAAATCTTTTAAATACGTTTTAAGCAGTCATTAAAATGAAAAAGATTTATATTGAACATTTAGTCAACCACATTCTTGTAACTTTTAATAGACGGGACTAATTGTGAGGGGATGGGTCCGGCATTTATATTGGAAGGAGATATAAAGGCCTATCAAACAAGCAAAGAACGGAACTTTCTCTTCGAGTACCATTTACACAGACTGTCATAAAAAACACTTGATCCCTTTTGTTGATCTGGGAAGTGAGGGTTTGTTCCGGACAGTTTACTCTAGTACTAAAGCCTGGCTTTGTTCGACAACTTACCATCATAAATGCGACTGATGTGCGCACATATGATAAAGGGCATATATTTAGGGGAGAAAGGAGAGTGATATCAAGGAAGGAAAAGGAGGAGATTGTACGGTATAGCGTATTTTTTTAATCAACATTCTTTAACTGGTTCATACATTTAAATTGGGAATGGGGCCCTTGAGGAGGGTTTGGGTGAGAAAGGAATATAGAGAAGGAATAGCGATAGTGATTGGCAGGGTAGTGGGTTCTCCATCCGGAACTTAACACCACTCGGGTATTTACCCAACATCATGTGTGTTGTCAAACACCATGCAGGATTAGCTTTCAGCTTTATGACCAACAGCTCTTATGTAATGCTCTTCATTTTCAACCAAGCGCCCCTACATGGAATAGTCATATTCATAAATTCCCCTCAACTCTCTGAGAGACTGTGGATATTTCTTGATGGGACTACGGTTCTGCTGTGTGCAGACTTGTACACCCGTTAATTGTATTTCCAACAAGCATGGAGTCAGCGAATTGTGACCTACTGTACATGGAAACTGACTACCATCTCCCTGTAAATACGTGTACACCATAATGGCACGAATTCACAAAAGAGGTTTGTAAAAAACGCGTCAAAACGCGTCATATGACGTACATAAAACTCGGTTTGTCGACAAACCTCCTTTGTGAATTCTGGCCTATAGGTTTATCACGCATCAGCAGTTATATTGCCATGTTATTCCGTGAGAGACCAACATTGCCGCTTGAAAGGACACTATAGCACGAAAAGGGGTGACCTTCTTTTAAGAAGGCAAACGAAAATTATTTTCCTACCAAACGATGATATGTAAACAATTCAAAACCTCTAGACACTGTCTACCTAAAATGACCTCTCTATATAATAAAGAGGATCATCATAAGGGCGTCGTATTGTTCTGTACGAGGCTTACCATAATACTGGAAAACAAACAATGTATTAGAACTGCCTTAAAATACGACAATATAGACCCGTAATAGAGAGTAAGTTTTGTCTGTTCAGTGCGTTGTGGCGTGCGCCTGTAATTCAGCTAACAATGCAAGTTACAAACTGATTCAGCCAAGGACGCAGGTTTGATCTCGGATGGTGATCTTTAAAGGTCGGTCTCCAAGCGTAAACACATCAGATTGATACACGTCTGTAAAACCCCAATACGCACACACTGTTCAGAGCCAGAAGGTCATTAAGTCTGTATAAAAGAATACGAGTTAACGCCCTTCTTGCTCCAAACAGATGTTGTTGCTAGATTATTTAAAGCAATTCAGTCAAAATTGACTAATTATGCCTTATGTACTTAGGATTTATAGGAGGAGGGTATTTATTGAAGATGTTTTTAGTATATCCAAACAAACCTGTAAGAGATAATGCATTTAAATGAGTGCAACGTCTCTCTTAGAGAATAGAAGAGAAGAGGAAGAGGAAGAGACATAATATAATAGAGAGAGAGAGAGAGAGAGAGACATACACACAATCACGCGCGCACACACACACATACACATACAGACAGAAAAAGAGAGAGAGGAAGAGAGAGGAAGAGAGATAGAGTATATACACAAACACACGCACGCACGCACACGCACAAACATAATTATATGGAGAGAGAGAGAGGGGGAAGGGGGGGGGGCATGAAGTGCTTTTAAATAAATGGTAAATGTAATCCTAAGAAGGTAAATAAGTTGTTGTTCATGCGTTTCTCTTTTAAGTCTTTACGAGAGAATAGGTCCTTATAATCCAATGCCAGTCAACCAACCGGGTCGGCGCAATCTTATCCAGACGTATTAAGATACATTCACCTCACAGGAGCATCAATACTAACAAGGCAACGTTATCCATGGATACTATGAAAGGTAGACATGAAGGCCTATAAAGGAGGCCTCAGCTAAATAATAGACCCTACTCGATTTTTTTTCAATGAGACTCAACTTCAGGACTGTAATCCTTTATTCGTTGCGGAACAACATCGAGAGAACATTCAAACCTCAGTGCCCGTTTCAGTTAGTTTTATACGGCTTATTTTCGTATTTCACATTGCACATTTTCAGATTGTTTAGCAATTATGTTTATAATAAGAAAGGTGTTTTAGATAAACCCAAGTATGTAAAATAAAGTCAATCAACTGATTTGTTTATATTCACTTGTAAATAAAAGACCAAGTTAAAGGGATAGTTGAGTTCTGTTTTCAGACCGCAAATGCCTTCAAAGTGCATGGTTATTGCTCTTATTCTTATCTTTGACATTTATAGTGCCCTTTTAGAACCTAAAATTGCTATGAAGGTAATTTAAGACCCCAAAATGTGTGAAATTTAGCCAATACGATCATACCAATTCAGCTCCACTTTAAAAAAAACACGGTTACCGTTATTTAATTATTTAATTAAAAATAACCGGCTAATTGTGGGTAAGCAACACGAAAATGCCAACAAAAAAGCCAATACCGGCATTGGCTGAAATACGACGTAAAAGGCGTAATTTCTTTTTTTTTTCAACGGTTTTTTCAATTTTTTTCAAAATATCTAATATTTGTGGTGGTACACAAGTATTAGAAATCGTTATATTTCAGCCGTCTCTGAACCGATTTTGATCAAACAAAGTTGATTTTGTCATTTAAAATATCATGTTCTTTCAAATTAGACACTCGGTTTTTCATTATCTCACAAAAAATTATTTTGTGTAGCGCCCTCTGCACCAGAACTCAACTATCCCTTTAAGTAAATGTACCCAAAAGAAAAAACAAAGCTTGTTGGCTCACATGGCTTGCGGCTCCAATGGCCCTCGCTGGATCTGCAGACTGTGATCCTATATGTAAACAGTGTTTTTTCACCACAAAATCAGAACATTTTGGCGGCTAGCATAATTAATGCGTATGATGTTGGGGGAGGGTAGCACCCCCCCCGGCAAGTTTCCTTACTCAAATAGGGCGATCAGTGGCTATTACTAAACCCTATCTACGATAGTTCGATGCAACAACTTAAATTGACTATCATAAAGTGTATATATTTTGGCTCCCTCACTTCGCTCACTCGCACTGTTTGTAAATCAGGAAAAGATGTCAACTCTTCTCCCCGACCACGTACGACATGTCCGCAGCCTATGACGGCGACAAATCCGCAAAGGGTCTATTTTTGTGCAAAACTGAAACCGTTCAAGAATGAAAACTTTCTTAAATTCGAAAAATCGATCTGTCGCATGCATTTGTACTTCAGTGTGACATTGCTGTTGTAGTTCTTACGAGTTACACATAACTAGGTCTATGAAAACAAACGCCTAATAAGTGTCCGTTATGTTATGTTATGATTAAAATAAAAAAACTCATAAGGCACTACTGAATGCGTTGGTGAACCTCGGTCGAAAAAACTTTCTGTTTTTATGCACATGGTCTGATGATAGTCCAGCCATGAGGAAATTGTCGAATTACGTATCCATCATACTATATGATCATTTTCCTTTCTGTGTGTTGCATGACAACAAATGCGTACAATGTTTAATCAAGAAAAAGCGTTTTAATGGTCAAATTAATGGTGTGTACAAATTGACTTGGAAATATAGGAAGTTTGATTTATCAAAAACTCCAAAATAGAGAGTAATTCATACTTTTATGTCTCTTTGCGCCTTACATAATACTTGGTACTTGGTTGGGTAATCCCTTTGAGTGCTCACTCAGGAAGCTATACTGTGATGGTTTGTGAGGCGAGTAATTACAAGGAGTGTCATGAATTGCAGGATTGGTGTGTGGACAAAGCACTCGTTAATTTACATTAAAATATGCTAAGTCCAGTGATATCAAACTTTTAAATTTAAACAGTTTAATTATTTCAAACCCATAATAAAAATTATAACAAATTGAAAGGTCTATCTCTGATCAAACATAGGCCTATTTGGTAAAAAAAAAAAAAAAAAGACTTTTTCCGTTCATTCAAATTTTAAGCACAGATGTGCCAAAGTTTGTGATTTTAGACAAAAATGCATTTTTCCACCGCCATACTAGCTTTAGCTTAGAGAAACCCAACTATATCTCCAATAATGGCTTCACTTACCCATTACCAGAAAGGGGTCAGTACCACCGAGCACGAGCCTGCGAATACACGGATCGCAGTGCACCAGCAAACGAGGTGGACATCCAGCATGCAGAAGGAGATACTGAGTAAATCAGTTCTGCATAGCCTCGACTGACTTAAAGATCAACGGCTGGACAAACACGATTAACATGGAAAGTAGACAGGAACACTTTCGAGTCCATTTGTTGTTGTTGTTTTCCGACGCGTAGCAGTTAGTGAGACGTATCGATTCTGTTTATCTTCTAGTATTAATCCCGCTTTTGTTGACCCTTGAGTGTAGGATAGAGACCTATCTGTTTTTTTTCTTTAATTTTCGTCTTTCTCTTTTTTCCTGCTTCATTTTTTTCTATTTCTCCTTTCTTTCTTTCTTTCTTTCTTCTTCTTCTTCTTCTTCTTCTTCTTCTTCTTCTTCTTCTTTAACTACTTTTTCTTCCCCTTTCCCCCGAGTTCCTCTCTCTCTCTCTCAAACAAACACACACACATACACACGTACACACACGCACACGCACTCAAACACAAACACACGCACACGCACGTACACACCCACACACACGCACACTGTCTATCTCTCTCTCTCTCGTTCTTTCTCTCACTTTTCCCTCATGAGAAATAATTGACTCAGAGGCGGACGTGTAGTAGAGATAGATTCCGGGATAGCTGAGGTGTGGTTTCAGTGCTCTGAATGCTTCGAGGCGGGAGTGCGGAGGGGGGGGGGGGGGGGGGGGGGGGGCTCACCTTTGTTTATAAAGACAGTGTGTATTATTATACTATACATTGTAAATCCAAGCCCGCCCCCTTTCCTCTCCACCTGTCACTTTCACATATCTTAGGGTTAGGGTTAGGGTTAGGGTTAACTGCAGGATGAACTGCAGTTGTCAGCGTAGACTTGATCGTTCTTTGCGTCTAAAACGATGGTACTTATGATGTATTTCATGAAGGAGACCATACGGTGTGACATATATTTCTTACTCTCGTGTTTTATTTGCATTTTTCTATGCCTCTGTAATATGTTTGTATTATTTCTTGACTTTAATTACAACAGTGAACCCGTGTAATATATCTGGTCAACCACGCGGCCTTGAAAGTGGTGCTCTTCCCGATTCGCCTTTTTTCGAATCATCCTGCTACTCGGCGGCCTTCTGCAGCCTCTTTGGCCGCCTGAACGGTGACACAGCCTGGCTCGCATACTCGTCCGACCAATACCCATGGATGCAGGTCCAATTTGAGTGCAGTTATATTGTAACGGTCGTATACTACTCAGGGTAGAAATAACGTTGGTCAGTGGGTGACGTCATACACTTGTTCGTCTAGTTTTGACAACATGGCTTGGACTGGTTATTTTAACGTTTACTCTGGATCAGTTGAGGTGAATGCAAAACTGCGGTTTCCTCATTTACATTAAAAAAAACACTTAATCAGTGGTCTTTATGTTCAGAAATATACAGTGCAACTTCGTAAGAACTCCATTGGACTATGGAAAATGGATCGCTATAATACAACTTCTTTGTGCCAGGGCTGAAAAAAAGGAACAATTTTTTAAGGAACAATAAGTTTACATAGTGCCATATTTTTAGTTTTAGTTCTAAAACTTGGGAACAGGAAAGAGGGAAAAGGAACTTATTATGGGCAAAATAAAAATAAAATTGCAATATACATGATAAAGGCCTTTGTTTATCTAACAAACTAATAAGTATTTTTCAAAATGAATTATGTGAAACAAGAATCACAACTTACGAAAATGACATCTTAGTTGATCCAGCCATGCAGATAGGGAAGTTCCGACCCACCCCGGGCGCAGGAGCTCGGATAGCTCTTCGCTGTTTTAGACATTACTGTTCAGGATACTGACATATGGATATGGCCATGGGACGGAAAAAACGGGGGAAAAAACTATTGACATGATAATTATAACTGGCTCTTCATAACCACAATGTGTGTAGTCAGCATTGTATTAATACACAGGCCGTATAGAGTTATGGACTAACAATAAGCTTCATTAAGAATGAGTTTTCTTTGCAATATTACTTAAGATCAATCCCATTAAATATGTTTTTGTATAGATATTCCCGGGAAATTATGACCATGATAGCCATGTGACTCACACGCTTGCAAGGCCGATAGTTGGACGCTCTTTTTGGGTCCATCCGAAGACCGATCATGGTCTCCTGTCTTGGGGATGGAACTATATGGGTATGGACCTCTAACTGATGTCATAGGTAAGTGCAGAGTAGGACTGTTAATAAATGAGAAAGTTTACCACTGGTAAAAATGGCAAAAGTGACCTCTAATTGATGCCATATAAGAAGGTGGAGAGTAGGACTATTAGTCAAAATCAAAATACACGATAATTGTTATTTCGTTCAGAGGTCTAGGTACCATTTTCAAGAGACAGGTATTAAGGTAAATACACATTTTTAGAGATTGTTTAAAATATTTCTAACCCTGTTCAAATATCTGACCCTCTTTAATTCTACGATTCCGTTTTTTTTTGTCTCCGACACTCTTTTATCTCCCCATGTCTGTGCTTTACCGTCATGTCTGTAAATTAACACCCACCGCCGCCCTTCCTCTCACTCTTTCTCTTCCCCTCCTATCCCTTTCTACCTTTCCGCCTTTCTCTCCCTCGTGCTATCTCTCTCTCTCTTTCTAACTCTCTGTCCCTCTTCCTATATTTCTATTTCTCTCTCTCTGTCTCCGTCCCTCACTTCCATCTCAATCTCTCTCCATCCCTTTCCTCTATTTCAATATCTCTATCTCTCTTTCTCTCCATCTCTCACCTCTCCCCATGTATCATCCTTTTCTACCTTTCCACCTTTTTCTCCCTCATGCTCTCTCCATTCAACGCCCCCTTTCTCTCTCTCTCTCTCTATAACTCTCTGTCCCTCTTCCTCTATTTATATTTCTCTCTCTCTGTCTCCGTCCCTCACTTCCATCTCAATTTGTCACTCTCTCTCCGTACCTTTCCTCTATTTCAATATCTCTCTCTCTCTCTCTCTCTCTCTCTCTCTCTCTCTCCATCCTTCAAATCCTACAAATCCTACAAATCAAATCTTGTTAAAGCCTCTCTAAAGTGTTGGGAGCCCAAACAAAGTGATTGCAAAAAATCTCTTCAATTGTATAGTGAAGAAAGTAAAGGAGGATGTCATTTAACACTGACTTCTGCAAGAATTTTCAGGAAATTATCAAAATAGTTCATTACGAGTCATACCCCACCCCTTAATGCAAAGCAAGGCCCTAAAACAGGTGGATTCTTGAAAGTATAAACTTGTGGAATATTGTTTCTCCCGAGGTCAAGGTCTGGACATGCGATCGATAGACCATCCATCTTTCTTGAATAATAATTGAATATCAATGCCACTCCTTGTTTACTGTACAAAATCACATTACTGAATAAAGGTGCAGCATTAATTTAATTTGGGCTAATTCATAATTATAATAAAGATATCAACTGCCTGCTGCTACGATAAATAAGTGAGCTACATTTTTATTTGTAATGCTGTGTTACAAAATAGATAAACTTATGTATCAAATGATAAATTGGGAATTGGACCCATCTTTACATCGTCAGTCCAAGACGATGTCATCTATTCACAGATCTCACATACATGTAGATCTCTATGTATATATCAGATGTCTCAATTTTAAAACAGAGAATTGGATGTAATAAATTAATTATTTGAAAGAAAAGACAAGACACTTTGAAGCAGAAGTGAGATTTTCAGAAGAAGATAATGAGGAGAAAAGAAGAAGAAGAGGACGAAAAATAAAGAAGAAGATGAGGAAGTAGACGAATAAGAAGAAGAAAAGATACAAGTAGAAGAAGAAGAAGAAGAAGAAAGAAAGAAAAAGAAGTAGGAGGAAAAGGAGAAGAAGAAGAAGCAAGAACAACAATAAAAAGCAAGTAGCAGCAACAGCAGCCGCATGTATTAGCAGTATAGTTTTAGTAATAATGCTGATGCAGATAATGCTGATAATGATTAAGATGATAATGATAACAATAAAAGTAATAACAATGATAATAATGATAATGATGGTGATGATGATTATAATGATAGTGATGATGATGATGATGATTGGCTTTAGTTTTACTTTAAGTCTTGAGGCTGACCTTAAGGATTTAGGTAAAACTGAGACCTATCGCCTGTAATGTAATCTGTACTTTTGAACGAACTGCATTTGCCCTATCCAACTAATATTTTATAATTGAGCACACAAAGAATTATACATGAAAATATCATATCGCCACTTTTTTACCTATTAAGTTGCCTCATTCAATTTGATTTAAACTGTACAATATATTAAATCATTTCATACCAAAAATGGTGATATTGTAATCATGAAACAATGGACAAAAATGCAATCCGCTGTTTATCATTGCTTTCTTTTTTCCCAGAAAAGAAAAACAAGTATAGTATTCAACAAGTACAATTGAAAAGGCATAATTATGTGGAATATCAATACAAAGACAATACATTGTTACGTAGTAATAACAACAATGATACCATTCCGTTTTTATATGGCGCATATCACATTACAATATTCCGGTTATATGCGCTTTGAAGTGCTAAGAAAATTACCTTGTAAAAGTATCCTGGCATTAGCTACGGCAACCGTTATATGCTCATACTTATGTTTTCGAATGAATGCATTTTACAAGGTAATACCTATTTATACACTTGCGTGGAGAGCGACTAATGTAGATTTGATGTCTTGCCGAAGAAGACACAGTGGAAGATAATCATACTACCGTTCACCCAATTACGTGACTCATGGTGCGTTTTCTATAGGAGAGGGGAGGGGGAGATGGAGCTCGTTCTTCCTAGGGTATTTTTTTTTTAAAGATTCGTATTTCCTAATCTTCAAAATTGTAAAAATGAAACAAGGTTGATATATCTGAAAATGAAATATATAGGGTTCATGATTCCAAAGGTTCGTTATTCCAAAAAAAAAAATTTCTATACTTATATTGCCTATTCTGAATTATGAACCTTCAGAATCGTGTGCTCTCTTTCATGTTCAGAATAACGAACTTTCGTGAAGAATTTTCGGAATAACGAGCATTGTGAAATATGAACCTTCGTAAAAAAAAAGCAATACAAAAACGACATGTTCATAGTAAAGTCGAGAGAGACAAGTGTTGATCAAATGCCTAGTTCGAGGGCACACTATACGCATCCGGCAAAAATTCGAACCCTCTAACTCCCGATTGAAAGTTAAGGACATTAACCATGCATGCACTATACACATTAAAATTGTTGAAGGAGAGAGTGTACATTCGCCACACTCTAATTTCATATTACTCTCTATAAACATGTTATACAAATCAAATTCTCCAAGTATTGATATAAAACTCTCCTGATTTTGACATAAAAAAACAAAACAACGAGTGCAACGCAAATGTATTAGACGACATTTATTAATATTATTTTTATATATATTATAACATTTTCTCTATCACCAAAAATTGAAACATTTAAAATATAATTTCTACATAAGAAAATACAAACAACCAAAAAGAAAGGGGAAATTTGACGTGTTTGGAAACAACTGGTGCTACAAAAACAGGGGCGTATAGTAAGCACGGGAATATATCATTATTTATGTTATTTATTTCATCTTAAAAATAAACACATAAACTTTCTTAGGGGAATGTCAAAACATCTGGAATTTGATATGGGTATTATATCGTACATTTTTCTATCAAATTCCAGATATTTTGACATATTGACGTATTTTTGAGGGAATTATTAAAACCCTATTACCGTAGTAGAAAAAGCAATATATACGGTATTAGTGTCAGTATTGATGAAAAAGCCTAACCACGTTTCATCATTGTAAATTAGTTTGATATGTTATAATTAATGTCAATAATACCATCAATCGTTATGGTTGAGTACTTTGAGCCACTCAGATATCAGCCACATTGTCAAGTGGTAAATATTCGAAGATAGTGAGGTTTCATATGTATACATATATCTATTTTCCCGTATTTTATATCATTTTCATGACTTTGACGAACAAATCTGTTCTTTGGTGAAGATACAGGGGACACGATGGTAAAAAAAGAAAGAAAAGGAGAAGGGGAAAGGGAAAGTCAAAAGAAGATATAAAGACACCTGCCTCATTACCCTCTCCTATGTAGCCTCGAAGATTTAATACACCTCATCCATAAAAAAACTGGTGCCCATCCCAGTAATGCCAAAGGGCTCCGCTACACCACTGCTTTACTAAATGATTATATTCTTGTCTAGATATCTCTTCGTGGTGCTATGTCCTGAGGGTATCGCGTCCATTTATCTTGTCCCAACCTGAAAATTGAAGAAGAGAACAAGGTCACTAATAAAGATATGTTTAACATATAAAACGGTGCTCAGGATTTCCACGCCTTGAAAATGAGTTGAGTGAATTGGTCATCCTTGCACAGCCAAATTAAAAAAATGGGATGTTCAAAAACAAGACTGATACATTTTTGCGCACACCAAATTTCACAAGTTTTTCGAAATTTGTCAGAGTTCACTCAAGCGCAAAATATTGTCAGTACTTTTAGTGCTATCCGTTTGAATCGACCCTCACCCATGAGGAAGAAAAAAATCATGCGGATATTATGAAATTAAAACTGGGACGATACTTTCAAACTGTGTCCTTTTTTATACGCACTGTAGAGTGGCCAGTTTGTGTACTGATTTGTATAACTTCATACAAGTCATATTAAACCATTTTTCTTATTTTTTGACGGAGTTTTAAATCAAATGTGTTCAGTTGATTTGTTTTATCAACTTTTTTTTCAATGAACTCTGTTCACGATCGCTTTATTAACGTGCGGATTATAAACCCTATTGTACTTTAAATCATATTGCTCCGATTGTCTCATTTTCGCTCGCGTGAACATTGCCAGCACAAACCACTGACCTCTGCCTTCTGAACGGATCATCGCCCATTCCATTCACTATACGTTACGTACTATAAAGGCTGTATTGTCTGACCGTTCATGAATATTCATGTTTTTGCTAAACTCGGCAAAATGTTTGCTTTTACTAAATGGAAAAATTACGGTGGGGGGTTGGATGAAATGGACATAATGAAATAGGCAGAAGTGATCTATGATAATTCATGCTTTTTATGTTTCGTGTGCTCGACCTATAACCTTCAAATCGCTTGGTAAACTGAGTCCAAAGTTAGACTTGTTTCACACGTGTATTATAGGCAATGACGAGCTTGCAACCTATTTTGAAAAATTACGGTGGGTGAACTTTCACAAGTCAATGAGACATGAGGGCTCCAATGAAAGAGCTAGTGATAACGTACGTCGGGTTGGATGTGCTTTTCGTTTAAACAAAAAATGAATTTTTAACGATTTTTTAAAAAAACGTCCATAGGCTAACATGTTAGGCTGCCGACTCAGATCATGCTCTGACGATAGGGGGCGTTGTGAAATGAGACTAACCGGAGCCATATGTTGATGTCTGGAATCGTATGGTGCTTTTTTCAATAAATGGCGCATTGATTTTTTAGTTTTCCACCTTTATCTTTTCAACTTGATGTCAAGGTAGACTTCGCCTTGAGAAAGCACACTGAGTAAAACAATTAAAGAAAGAAGACATACAATGTTGGCCATCAAATTGGAATACAGTTTTTTAAACCTCTTTTCATGACAGGATTTTGACAATATGATATATTCTTGATTGATAAAGTTTATACCGTCTCAGAACTTTATAGATCAAACAATCTAAAGAGTCATAGAGATTGCAGATATAAACTTTATCTCTCAAGAATCATTTATATTGTCATAATCATTTCGGGAAATAGTTAAGAACGAATTATTCCAAGTTAATGGCGCAGCTGATTGTTAACAATTTAATGAATACTACACTAAAGGTTCCCCACCTATTTACATCATCATTTCTTTTTGTGTTATTATACGAAAGTGAAATTTTGAGAGCTTACCGCGTCGATCGTTTTATTTCGAAACACGTGTTGACCTGACGGGTGTTGGTCCAGGTCGTATACAGGACTTCTTCCCCGTCACAGAGGTGACACTGACCGGACCAGCTGGTAGTTGATAACCCATTGTCTCTCCCTACCATAAACCCGAAGGTAGGGAAGTCCTCGTTCTGGTTGGCGTAACCCACCACAACTGTGGGCGCTACGAGAAGATGAGAAAAAAAATCAACACTAATTAATTCATTCATTCAATCATTCATTCATTTATTCATTCAACTTTTCTTTACAATTGAGAGTGATTCCAGTCAGAACCACGAAGGACCTGTTTTTAAGAGAAACCCTACTATGATTATAACACACTTTACCAATTTGATGCTGTTGTGTGTTTCTTGTCAGTAATTAAATAATTATAAATAAAATTATATTCAAGAATTAGGCAAATACTTTCTTTTCCTATTTTTTAAATTTTAGGTGTCGTGTTAATTTCTCTTCCATGCCGCGTACAAATCTAACATGATTTAGCTATTCGACTGTGAAAGTGTATAGTAGTCCATTGCATAGTCCTACACCACCCAATTTGATTGTTTGTTTTACAGAAGAAGAAAAAAGTAAATCACCAAGAATTGATACTATGATATCTTTTTAACCAGACATTGTAATGTCCGATGAAAATTATGCAATGATTACATAAAATACAATAATATTATAATAATGCGAATACAAACACAGTTCGTTGCAAAGTACTTTAGGAAAAGGCATGCAGCAAACCTTGTTCAGATTTGCCGCAGTAAACAGCGGCGTTTTTTATAATTGTTATGATGACGTTATTGTAATACGCTTCACATATATTTTTCTTATAACACGGAGCTCTGTGAATTCAGGCAGGACCCTGTTTGAGCACGCTTGCTATTCATATAACTTAAGTTTGTCTGCATTACAAAATGGTCTCTTAGTGGGCCAACATGATCGAGTGAAAATGCTAAAGGGAATGACGGTCTTACCTGAGGAGCCAAGAAGGATCTCTTCATTGGTCATATAATCTCCAAGAAGAAGACCGGTTGATGTCTTCACGATGGTTATCTTGTCATTGCAATCATTGTACCACTCCCCGTCTAAATCACAGTAACCAAATATTGAATTGAAGAAGACATTAACACATGTACAAACGTATAGTTTAAGGAACAATAGCAAATCAGTTTGTAAACGAGTAGATTGTCAATATTACATATGTTTATTTGGAAAAAGTTATTTCGATGAGGCTACTAACGAGCTCGTATCAAAACCTTTTTGCGTTTTTTTTTTGCGTTTTTTTTTCTTTTCAAATAAAGTATTTATTCAACTTTTCTCACTTTATAAGCCAATTTATGAGCAAATGTTGAGCCTAGATTGTTTGTTCAATTTAATTATTATTTATTTTTTATTTTTTGTTGTTAAAAAAATGGAAATTATAAAATGTCTAGTTGAAAATATATGATACTTTGCATACTAAAAAAAATTAAAATAGGAATAATTTCCACCTGGGATGCCAAAGATTAAATTATTAGCTGTTAATTTAATTTCATTTTGACAAAATCTTTAAGAATCGACAAGTTAAGGGACATTCCCAAAATAAATGTCTAAAAGATTAAATATCTTCTGAACAAAACGTACACAAATAAAAATGGGATACACCCATTAGTTGTTAAATACTTATGAGCAACAAAATATTGGTATATATAAACAAATGAAAGTTGTTATCTGCCTTAATGTGAGTCATCAGAAATTATTATGTAATTTGGGGGCTATGTGGCTTTTCATATGATAATATTAGGTTTTTATGACATTGCATATCTTCTTATTTGATTGGATATTGAATTAGAAATCTTTATCTTTCGTTTGAAATAGAGTGACATATACGTCAAACTTGTAAAGCACTGTCACATAACCATTCATGCCTTTAGTCATGTGATCAACATATTTACCTTTTTCGCAGTTCACGCCGGAATATCCTAGACGGCATTCGCAGGTGTACCGGCCCTGACCGTTGTCACAGCGCCCTCCATTCTGACAAGGAAGGCTTGAACACTCGTTCACATCTAGATGTGTATGAAAATTTGGAATTTTATTGTGATTAAAATGATTGTATCAAGTGTGCAGAGTTAGAGGGGTGTGCCATGGGTAAGTTTGGAGAATGCTCCCAGGAGGAAGCTCAATATTTTGGCCTGAGAGTCGGTTGCATTGTGGTTTAAGGGCCAGTTGAGCCGGTCGCATCTCATTCCCAAAGTGAATTTCATCACAACCCGCCCCTGCACGTGTGGTACGATCTTATAAATATAAAGTATATATATATTTATAAATGTATACTTGTTATATCGACACCCTTGCACCATAACATTACTAAAAAAGAAACAAAGAATGTACGTATTATTCAATTTGGTAAGTCTTTCAAGATTTTCATCTTATTTCAGTTTCTAAGTTTGTGTGATTTGAATGTGTATATTTTATTATATCACTTCATAAAATGTTGAAAATCCTGGGATAATACGTGCTTACTCTTTTAATGTACCAGAGTGTAAACCCACTTTTTGGGGGGTAAACAAGTCTGCACTTAAAATAGTGCAGTCCCGTTTCAATAGAGTGGATTCCCCCCGTTTAAGGATTACTCTGCCTGTCATTGTGAGAAAAGTGAATAATATACTATTCTTCAACCCATAAGTAATACATTTGATCTGTTGGTTGTGTGTAGATTCATAAGCTTACCAATATCACAGTTGTACCCTGTAAAGCCCTGTCTGCACACACATCTATAACTGCCCCCGTAATATACTTCACACATAGCCGCACCATCGCAAGGGTTACTCTGACAAGGATCTATATTAAAACAGGAAAGCAGCAGAAAAATTAGTGTATTAAAAGCAGACAACAATCCATCTTTAATCTTTTAGTAGAATATCTTTCACGTTTTTTGCATTTGAAATTGTGAATATTATAATGACTTTAAGTTAACATTTCGTTAAGTAGACTAGTCAAAAATTGAGTCGACACAATCGGAAACTGACCCGGGAATCGCCCCCTGCTTCCTTGAGTCGACTTCGGAATCATGCTTAAATGACGCAGCTTTAACACTATTGATTCTATAAACGTTACTTACTAAATTTGTCACACCCTCTTTTATGACGTTAGTAGTTAGTCAAGCGAAACTTGAACTGTGCTGAATAAAAGAATCAGTTGCTACCTTGTAAGTGTTCCATCGGTTAAAATGACATATTATTACGAATATTGTGTTAAATATAACTTTATTGTTTTAACAAGTGCAGCCTGGCCTATACAATAAACATATACGATACTGACTAAATCTGTATGTAAACTACTGAACCAGAATGCAAACAAAACCTCAACATAAGTCAGTTTCTGCATTTTCCACTTCAAGGGTAGCTGTAAACTGTATTTAACAACAATTAATTCTCAGTCCTTTCAAGGACTTCTGAATTATCACGACAGATTACAACACAGTCATTTTAAGGCCTACCCACATGAAATGCTTTCTCTAAGATATCTTCTCGCCATGCAAACTTGTTCTTTTACAAAACAATTACCTATCACTATACTTTCACAGTTCTGTCCGGTATAGCCTGTAGCACAGCGACACGCATACACGGACCCGCTCTGTATACAAGACCCTCCATTTAGGCACGGATTGCTGCTGCATGCAAATTCTGAAAAAGGACAAAGATAAATGTACTCAAATCCAGATAATATTGTTATTTATTTTACTACTTTGCTGTGAAAATAACTTCTTCCATTTTTAAAATCAATCATTCAATAATTTAGGAAGGCATGATGGTTCAGGGGTAGATCCGTCTCACAGGCTACAGTTCGAAAAGGGTTTGGAAACCTAGTCAATATGCTTGTTCCCTTTCGTAATTTATTAATTATCGCTCACCAAATATCTCAGATAGTACTTAAAAACGAAGAAATAAATAACACTTTCTTACAGGCTAGCAGTCAGGTAAAATGAAATCATTGATAACATTATCCTTTTAGTTCTTAAAAGAGCGTACTATATTGAGCAGGTGGCTCTTAATTAAATCTATGTACATTATATTTACTATTGAAGTCGCCTGATTATTTTCTTGTGGTACGTACTCATTTCAGCAGAATCTGATTCATCGTCAGACTAGTAATTAACAGTACTTGGAATGGATTTTCCACCCATTCACATGTAATTTTGAACTTAGTTGAAAAATAGTTGCAGCAAATACAAACAGTTCAAGGGAATCCGATATGACTCTGATCGAAAAAAGGTACAGGTCAAGAGCAAAATAAAAATTAATTTTTCACCACGTATTTATAATTCACGTATTATTTGCAATGCAATTTCCAATGCCATACAAAAGAGTGTCTATCTACTTCCAGTAAATCCAACTCGGAGAGGACCTAAATCCGTCGGTCTCCTGGTTGCTTACTAACAAGCATTAATGCTTTCTTAACAGTCAGGTAAAATAACCACCGCTACTTATACTTATTTAGAACATTGCTTCTTGTACTTAGTAATTAATCTCCTTTCGACAACGAGAACTGTACAATTGATCTCACTCACGGGTCACGTATGATGTTTAAACTCACACTTAAATAGTTTTAAATAGAATACAAATATATATATAAATAAATAAATAAACATACCTGTTTCGCAACGTGAACCTGTAAAACCAGAGGCACACTGACATTGGTATCCTTGGCCTACTTCCATGCATGTAGCATCATTCATACAGGGATCTCCAATACATACATCTGTAAAGAAACAAGTTCAGTCAAGGTTGTATAGTAACAATAATAATACTCAGTTTGTACATAGCGCTTATTACAATCACTAAGCGCTTCCAAACTTGGAGATTATTACCATTTCAAAGAATTAATTCCTGCCAGGTACCCATTTACATCTGGGTTGAGTGTGGCAATTGTAGATCAATGTCTTGCCAAAGGACATTAGTGCCGCGGCGACTTAACTACTCGACAACAGCACCTCTACAGGCTCCTGTGCCAACTGCTCTTTGGTAATTTCATTCACTAATCGAGATTTTTTGGTGTGTTTCTTTCTGTTATCTTCGGTGATTAAAACAGAGAACATTCCGCCCCCCCATCTGTCGAAAGTTACTACTTATCATGCTTACATTATGCAGGGATTCAAAAGTACTTACCTAAGATAGTCTCGCAATACAATCCAGTGACACCATAGGGGCATTGGCAAGTAAAAGTGTTTATTCCATCTTCGCAGGTAGCATTGTTTTGGCACGGATCGCTCTGACACTCATACTCATCTGCAGAAAAGATTGATTAAAAACACGATCACATGAGTTGATTTCAAGAATAAAGTCTTTGCGTTTAACGTGGAAAACTTTGTGTTTAGCAAGAAATAAAACAAAAACCAACAACTAGACGTGTACAATTACCTATATAATTTTTTTGTTTATATTAGTATGACTATCTTATTCCTAGATGGGTCTTTATGACCCTCTTTTACACCGCAATTATTGACACGCCCTGAACTAAAAAAATCATTTAATAGTGTAAGAATTAACCATACACATCATACAAAAAATTGTATAGTGCTCTTGCCAAAAAATGTTGGTCTTGATTTGTATATAAGTACTCCAGTCCGAAAAATATTTATATATATATATATATATAAATATGTATACATGTATATATATTTATATTTATAAATTGATTTTGTTCGCAACGGTAATGTTGAGTATTTGCTTGTATTTCATTGAAACGGTTCAGAAACTCAAATTTGTAATGATGTCAACGTGTAATGCACTTAATAACAATGGTATTCAGGGGAAATTATGAGAGCTCGGTTAGCATAGGTGTTGTGTTGTACTGGATGTCTCCGGACTGTGGACCACAAGGTATGGGCTTCGAATGCCTGTTCTAGGACAAATGTACTTTGGCAAGACATAAATCTATATTTGACCCAGATGTAGGAAGTGGATACCTGACAGAATTTATTCCTTGAGCTAAAGAAGGGGTAATATTATCAAAAGAGTATCCCTTGTGAACGCATAGCTAGGTTCTATCATTATGTGACACGCAGTTTACAAGAACGGAAATTGATATTGTAATGATGAGGGGGAGACAAACCTGTTTGACAGTAATCCCCTTTGAAGCCTTCAGGACAGAAGCACTGGAAGCCTCCAAGGCTGTCTGAACACGTGCCTCCATTCTGACAAGGGTTACTCAGGCACTCGTTGATATCTGGAAAGTAGCATTGTTCAATTAGTGAAAGTAATGAAAATATTGATATTCTTTCACCTCAAAATCACTATTGTCTGATTTTTGGGTGATTTGGTGGAGAAAAGCAAGACATAAGCAAAATACCACGTGGATTTTACAACTGTAATGAAGTGTTAAAGATCAATGATGTTTTATTTGTTTCTCTTATTTGTTAATTAAACTTTTTTTCTTCAGAAAACTTCCTTTTTAAAACTATTTCAACGTATTTCGAGATTAAAACAGTTTTTCGTGTTTTGTTTTTATAGAATAATGAATAAGTTTATTAATGTTTTAATCAAAGAAAAAAAGAAATATCTCACCTTCAGTCCTTTCTGCTGTTAGATTCACCAAGAATCCACTTCCCATAAGCGAACACGCTGCTCTTAGTTTCCTTCTACTGGAGTCCCCAGTATCCGACACAAATCTAAACCACAATTCTCGAGTGGGGGAGGTAATATCTTCAGGCAATTCACTTCCAGTCAACTCCACTAGGATTGTGAATGTTATAGGACTCGAGCCGTAGCCCACGGTAAGCGAAGAACCATCGGTGAGGTTGAAGAAGTCGAAACGCGCCCTCACGCTGTGATCCTGAGGAGCCATTATCCGCCAAGTCTCGTGCACGCTGTCGCTTGCATCAAGAGGTATGTCTGGTGAGCGGAGCTGTTGGACCGTAGACTCGTCCACCAAGATTAGAGGATTATCATCTGTTACCAAACAAGTGTTAAAACAATAAATGTGTCAGAAATACAGGCATGTTTTGTCTTTAAAAAAAAAGACAGAACAGAATAAATTGAGAAATCGTATGTTTGATGTGAAATAATTTTATGATCATCTGATCATTCTGAAGATTATAAAATCCCTAGAATTTTACCATGACACGAAGACGATCTTATTACCTCTCGGATCCACAGCGTTCAGTGTTGCCATGAATCCAACGTCAGTAAGTTTGTAATTACTGAAGAATTTGAGCCACATATGGCGGCCATGTGACGTCACAATCGACCTTAACCCATAGCCCGTGAGCCTCGCAAGCTCTGTGTAGGTCAGTGGCGTCAGTCCATCGCCCACAAACAAGATGTCGAAGTCAAATTCGGTAGCGAAGTCGACGATGTCCAGCCTGACGCTGTGGTTAACAGGGGCCGATACCTGCCAGACGATGTTATCGCCGATGTTGTAGTCGGAAGGGTAGTTTGGAGAAGTGATGTTCACTGGGACGGCACGCTCAAGGGTGATTTCAGTAACACCCGGTGTTATTGCTGAAAGAAATATAAATGTAACCAGAATATTTATGATTTTTTTGTTTAATCCAATGAATAACGCCAAAACATATTTTTGAGACCATAATTTCAAGACGGAATATTGAACCTTGAAGTATAATAATAATAAAAAATAATATAAATATATAACGCGCACGTATCCGAAACTTCCGATCAAGGCGCGACAACATATATAAGCAGATTACTCAAAACAGTTCAACAGATATTATTTCTACACGTAATTAAACTTAAATCTTAGATAAACAGGAATTAAAAAATTATATAAACATAAATTCAAGTATTGGATAAACAGATATATATATATATATATATAATACAGTTCAACATAATATAGTTCTTTAGGTCATGAAACTTAAACATCAGATAAATAAATACGCTTTCAACTGTGATTTAAATTGTTCTGTGAATTCTAATTGTCTAAGATGAGAAGGAAGAGAGTTCCAGAGGTGCGACTTTTGTGAAGGTCCTGTCTCCATACGTCACCGTTCTTGTCATTGGCACGACTAGTCTCGTAGCCTCTGAAGACCTAAGTGACCTCACTGACTGCGTTACTGATACCATCTCAGAGAGGTACTGGGGAGCCTGACCATGCAGAAATTTGAAGGTAGTCAGGCAAATCTTGAACACGATACTCCTCTTTACCGGTAGCCAGTGCAATTGACGAAGGATATGACTTATTCGAGCATACTTCCCTGTCTTAGTAAGAACACGGGCTGCGTTGTGGTGTACTCGCTGCAAACGAGAAAAGGCTGAGGAAGGGACACCGACCAGGAGGGCGTTACAGCAGTCCAATCTGGAAGTTACCAAGGCATGGATGATCTGTTCTTTAGTCTGCTTCGACATGTATTTACGGATTCTCCTGACATTCCGAAGGTGGAAATTTGAACTTCTGCAAATGACAGAAACATGCTTTTCCATATTGAACAGATGGTCAAAGACGACTCCCAAATTCCTAGCTGAACTTGATGGAGAGATAGTATGACCACCATTGTTCAGATTTCGAGGTTAAACAATTGAGTAATTGTGACGAGATCCAAGCACCAGCATTTCAGTCTTTTCTGGATTCACTTTAAGGAAATTAGAACTCAACCATGCTTGTATGTCACTCATACATGATTCCATCTGATCGAAGTTAGCCGAAGCATCCCCTGGACGAAATGTGAGATAGAGTTGGGTGTCATCAGCGTAGAAATGAAACTAAACCTGATGGTAACAAGTGATGTATCCAAGTTGTAATATGTAGATAGTAAAGAGTAGCGGGCCTAAGACCGACCTCTGAGGTACCCCACACTTGAGAGGACAAGGTTCAGATATATTGTCACCAAAACGCACCACCTGAGATCGGCCAGAAAGGTATGATTCAATCCAACGCAAAGCTGAACCTTTTACACCAAGCCTTTCGGAAAGTCTTTTAAGTAAGACTTGATGATCGATGGTGTCGAACGCAGCGGATAAGTCCAACATTACAAGCAGCACCATTTGGTGCTTGTCGATAGCAGTGAGAATGTCGTTTGAAACTTTCAAAAGAGCACTTTCAACACTATGCCCGATCTTATACGCCGACTGCATGACTTCCATGAGGTGGTAGAATTCCATGTAGTCCACCAGCTGATGAAAACAACTCTCTCAAGAACTTTTGAAGCGAATGGCAGATTTGAAACAGGACTATAGTTAGAAAGCTGTTCAGGATCTGAGCCAACCTTTTTCAGCAGGGGAATGACCACGGCATGCTTGAAGTCATCAGGTACTTCTGAGGCCTGAAGAGATGAATTCACTATGTTCATGATACCACAAACAAAAGTTGCTGATAGTTGTTTAATGATCCATGTTAGAACAGGATCCAACTGACAAGATTTGTTTGGAGTAGTACGTATTATCCTTATAATGTCTTCAATCTCAGCAGGCTCAAATGTTGATAGTTCAGAATCACAAGCCGATGCATTTCTCAGCCCGCGGTTTTCGGGCCGCTCTTATCTACTCTCAATAGTCTCTCGTATTGACCGAATCTTATCCAAGAAGAATGCACTAAACTGATTAGCTAACTCCTCATCATCATCGTGAGAAGGAAGAGCAACAGACTTGGATGGACTCAACAGGTCATTAATCATCTGGAAGAGACGCTTGGGATCTTTTCCACACGCCGATAATTTGCTAGCTATGTATGACTACTGTGAACTTATAATCGGAAGAATTCGGACGCCTATTGAAGGGCAGGTTGATGTGCTGGCCAGAGGGCCACTTCACTTCACAGATGCTGCTCCCAAACTGTGGAATAACCTACCGATCACTTCGTAGCCACCAAACTGTCAATACCTTTAAAAATTATCTCAAAACTTTACTTTTCTGTTAACAATATAACTGTAAAGCGCATTTGAACACGTTTATAGAAAATGCTCTATATAGATACATTATAATTATTATTAATATTATTATTATTCACGGTCAAAGGGGCCAGTTGATCAAATACAATAATGGGAACCAAAAGGCTTCAGAAAGCTATAATTGGCCAGTCGCACATACATTCATTGGTTTAACCTTTAGCCGAAGTCCTCTCCATACAATCCCAAAATATTTCGAAGAATCAACTCCTCATCAATTTCAATGGCATGTAGAAAATCATTGGATTTTGTAATACGCCATTGTAATGCAAGCACATTTCCGTAGGTGGTGGACAAAGGCTTTTAAAATTGTGCCCCCCCCCCAAAAAAAAAAAAATCCAAGATCGGTTGAACTTTTTAGATCCCTTTTTTACCTCGATCGATTACACGTATGTGCCCCCCCCCCCCAAAAAAAAAAAAATAAAAAAAAAATCAAACTCTGGCTACGGGCCTGTACATAGGACCACACACATTAGTGTAGCTTTCGAAAAAGCACATTTATTCGGAACCTGGCAGTTTGATATATATTAAAGGGGTATGTTAGTCAGTGTGTCCAAATTCTGAAACAAAGACAAAAAGGATATAAAATTGAAAATAACTAAGTAAAAAAAATACCACTGCAGTCAGTGTCACAGTTATGAGGGAAACGGGAGTACAGCCCAAATAATCGGTCTAATGAAAATAAAAAATGATGGGAGAGCAGAAAAGCAACTTGGGTAAAAGGTAATGACTCAATCCTATGCCCTTATCTCCTTCCATGCTGTCGTAGTAGAGAGGTTTGATGGCTATACTGGAAATTCGAAGGTCATGGGTTTGACTCCCGGCACAGTACTGATGTCCTTTGATAAGGCATTAATGTACATCTGCCACTCCATACCCAGGATCAAATGTGGACACTGTAGGAGCACGAAGCCTGTGTGATAGTATTTCGTTATGCCCTCACGGTGACCCTGTGGTAGGAATACTCCCCAAAGATTGGAGATGCTGCATATTTTGCGTATGAATGAATTCGGTGTCCGGGATGATAATATTTTTAAAGCGCTTAGACACGGTATTTTGTTTTAAGCACTATCCATGTATAAATCTAGATTTTTCATTATATTCATTTTTAGTAATACTAGTAGAAGTGTAAGTAGTAGCAGTATTAGTAGTAGTAGTAGTAGTAGTAGTAGTAGTAGTAGAAGTAGTAGTAGAAGTAGTAGTAGCATTCTCTTTAATTCAAACCTCATAACAGTTGCCTATTGTGTCCGATACCCGCTCCCATGACACCTGTGCCCCCCCCCCACACACATGACTAAACTCAGGCTGCGCCATAGATAGCAGTTACCTGACAAGCAACAATTCCACCTGGCGCATATCTAGCACATATATCTTCTTCTGTCAGAGACCCGTTGTAAAAAAGTTCAGAATTGCACCGGTCTTGGTCAAGAAGGGTCACCACTGCTTTTTTCAAGCTCTCTGCCAACGCTGCGAAATATTAAAGTAAATCATCGTTTACATCTTCTGTAAGCAAACGAATTTCAAATCTAATTATCATTAAACGTTTGAAACCATTTAAAGAGTTATAGAAAGGTAGAGTGGATTCAGCACTGCTATTTAGCATGATTTTTCATTTGTATTCCATCCAATAAATACATTAATTAATAATAATTAGGTGAATAAGGGTATCAAGTTAGGTGGATGAAATCATATTGGATATAAGTTTTCAGATCTACGTAAAGAAGAACTACTAAAGGGCATGTTCAAAGCTTCCCTGTTTGAAAGAGGCCTTTTGGATATCACATTTCTTTCAATCAGATAACCTAGAGAATTGATTGGCTAAAGGTTTATTCATTATTGTTTGTCTGTTTAGTAGCACTGTTAGGATTTTGTTTCATTACAGAGCAGTAGAGTCGCTGCGCTATATACATTAATGTAATTATTATTATCATTATCAAATATAAGTAAAGCAGTACATACGTCGGCTATACAATGTCAATGTTTCCCATCCAGCGACTAAGCAGCGACGATAGTCCTTGAGTTCATCCGAGGATTCCGAGAGACACGCGGGTCTAACGTAATCACTGAATGTCACCGGTTCAGCAAGTCGTATCAGAGCGATGTCGTTGAAGAACCAATTGGTGTCGTACTCGGGATGGACAAAAATATCAGCCACCTCAACCGCTACCTCGTTGTCGGAGTCATCCGTCAAATGTGCGTTCCCAAAAACCACACGATCGACGTAGTATTCACTATAAATGAAAGTGGATGTGAAATCACTGATTTTTACAAGGGCGAAATATAATCATGTATATCGAAAGGACATTTTAATGGAGCTTCGTTTATTTGAGCATGATATATATTATATATTAACTGTAGTTTCATACATGTACATCATAATTTCATTATATATTACAAACATTGTATCGGCTATGTCTCACAGGGGAATTAACTAGCTCCTAATACATCGGACGTTATACCGTCATGTCAGTGTAAGTCTCTAAATTAAACATAATTTTGTAACAACACTGAAGTGCAATCCCGTCATCTGATAGTTATACTCGGAGGGGGTATAGTAACGCTGCCGTCCGTTCTTCCGTAACAAATCTGGTTCCCGATCGATAAGTTTAGTAATGTTTGACGGATTTTAATAAAATTTAATATGAAGGTACATGGTATCAAAACACAGCTTAAGTTCGAGTTCGGAGTATGTAGGTCAAAGGTCATAACTCATTAAATATGCGAATCTGATTTCCATTCGATAACTTTATTAATGTCTGACAGATTTTAAAGAAATTTGATATGAAGGTACATGGTTTCAAAACACAGCGTAAGTTATATTTCGGAGTATGTAAGTCAAATGTCATATAGCTCATTAAAAATGCGAATCTGGTTTCCGTTCGATAGCTTTAGTTATGTTTGACGGATTTTAATGAAATTTGATATGAAGGTACATGCATGAAAATACAGCCTAAGTTCGATTTCGGAGTATGTAGGTCAATGTTGAATGGTCATAACTCATTAAATATGCGAAAATACTTAATTATTATGCGAAAATGTGGTTAACTTCCTTTCTTAGTAATATAATATTATATTCTAATGGAGGTAACTTGTTCTGACATATTAGGCCATTATACCCTGCGAGTGAATGCTACGCTTTGGGTTTACTGGTTCTATTTATTTCATACATACATACATACAATTACTTTTCATATAGCGCAACGTTCAATAAAATGTTGCTTAATGCCTTTTACATGACATTGTAATTGGGTTGATCTGTTCAGAAGAACAGATATATAATTGGGTGTACAGATATTGACTACTAGTGATAGACTACTTTATATATATATTTCCCTTATTATGATTATTTAGACGAAAACTCAGTGCATACTTTGTTTAGTTATAGTACATGCACTCTTAAGGTAAACACGTTCGCTTCTATATAAATTAAACGAATTGAATATCCCTGTGAAGGTAAGGTGTCAATTTGCTTTCATTTCCACAGAGCAAATGATTTAATAGTGGCATCATACTTACACACAGTGAGCGGCGGTAAGAACCCATTGAGAGTTGATCAGGGTAGACCCACACCAATGTCCTCCAAAATCCAATCCTTCGATGCGGAGTGAACCAATCCAAGGGAATTCCCCTTGGCGTGCGTTGGTACCACCAAGAACCCTGTATTGGTCTGGTGCGTATGCAGGGCGTGTCCCGCATATGTTGGTACCCAAAAGATCTGGGGGAGGGATAAAGTCGCAAGTCAGTGGCACAACGACGGGAAAAGGAAGGGACATCCACCCAATTTGAACAGCACCCCTTTGCCTCCCCCCAAAGCAAATGAAACAAAGCAAAGCATAAATCTAAAATAAAATGAAAAGAGGAGGGAAAAGGATGCCCAAAGAAGATGATAGACCACCTTTGAATACCCTCCAATCAACCTCTCATTTGGTTGCTGATTTTCATGTTTCTCTAAAAACCCACTTGGCAGTAAGATCAGTGCCGCCATCCCCATATCATTAGCTGTACGCCACTGCCATATCTGATGAATTCAATATAAAATGCTGACATCTTTTCCTCGGTTTTATGAACTATCATTTATAAACACTTGGTGCATCTTGTCAAGTCCAATCATATTCTTAACTCGATATCATCTACATGAATATGGCTGCATGGTCTTTACCTCCCGCAGGGCCAAAACAGCTCCCATCTTCCTCCTGTTCATCGGTAAACATGGAACAGTTGACGGGCCAAGGACGGTCGAGGAGTTGCTCAAAGGATGTTTTGCAGGCATCAGTGACTGCCAAACAGTCGGAGTAGCACACCCGATGGGAGGGGCCGTTATGGGTGCATTCCGGATAGTAGACGGTGCACATGAAAGGGAACAGGTGATCATGGCACGATGATATAGCAGCTTCCTATGGTAGGTCATTAGAAAGTATAAACTTTGAGGATTTCACGTCAGGATTTTCAAAGGTATTTGCAACATAGATGTGTATGGTACATCAACAACGTCAGTGTAGCCAGCAGCTCTTGCAAGTGGTAGGGGGGACCACGCAGGCGCGGATCCAGGGAGCCGAGCGGGCCTTGCCCCCCCCCCGCAAAAAAAAGAGAGAGCGAGAGGGAGAGAGAGAAGGAAAAGAAGGGAAAGGGAAAGAGGAGGGAAAGAGAAAAGAAAGAGAAAGAAGAAAAGAAAGGGCAAGAAAAAAGGAAAAGAGGAGATAAAGGGAAGGAAAAAAGAGGAAGAAGAAAAGAAAAGAAGGGGGATATCAATTTTCCCGCCAACAAATTGTGGATCGGACGGGGGGGGGGGGGCCAAAAGGCCCTTGCCTCCCCCTCTCCCCCCCCCCCCCCCCCCCCAAAAAAAAAAGAGAGAAGAAGGAAAAGGGAATGAGGAGAGCTAAAAGGGAACAAAACAGATGAAGAAGAAAAGAAAAGGGTGAAAAGAAGGGGAGATCAGTCAACCCGCCAACAACGTGCGGATCGGAGGGCCGAAAGGCCCTTGCTTTCCCCTCCCCCACCTCAGCAAACCTAAAAGAGAGAGAAGAAAGGGAAGGGAAAGAAAGAAAAAGAGAAAGAAGAAAGGTAGGGGAAATCAGTTCCGAATTTTCCTGCCAACAACGTGTAGATGGAGGCCCAATGCACTTGCGTACTGACGCAATGCACTGGCAGTCCCCCCCTCCTTCCCCCCCCCCCCCCCCCCCCAAAAAAAAAATCAAAATCAAAATCAAAAATCAAAAATCAAACGTACTTCTAATTCGATACCGGTGTTTAAAAATGTTCCTGAAATAATTACATGACTTAATTTTCCGAGATTTTTCCTCACTTTTTCGTAAATTATACTTTTCTATGCTTTTTCAAAAAATTCCTAAATATTCAGTCAGGAAAGAAGTATGCTTATTTAGAGGCCTGAATGTCAGGGCCCGCGGAACGGCGGGACTCGGGGGCCTCGAGCCCCCCACACCCCCCCCCCCCCCACTTTAAAGAAAGAAATAATAGTGACCTGCCAGTGTTACAAAATAATGAAGTATCAAAATATGCTCATCTGACCGTGATTAAATGCCTAAAACCCCTGAGTTTCCGCAAATTAGTCTCCTGCCAGTGTCACAAATAAGGTATCAAAATATGCTTATCTGACCGTAATTTATTGCCTCAAACCCTTGAGCTTCCGGGGGTTCTGCCCCCTGGACCTCACCTATAGGGCCCTAAGGCGGGTCCTTAGATGCTCATCTGAGTTTTAGGGTCTCAGCCTCCTTGACCCCACGCCTATTAGTGACCTGCCAGTGTCATTAATAAGGTATCAAAATATGCTCATATGACCGTAATTAAATGCCCATACCCCCTGAGCTTCCGGGGGCTCTGCCCCTTGATCCCCGCCGGGCCTTTGCCCCTAGACCTCACGCCAATTTACGTTTAATACGCTCTTCCTGTTTGTAAATACTTTAGCCTCCCCCCCCCCCACCCACTTTGAAAAACGTTCAGCGGGCCCTAAGGCGGGTCCTTAGATGCTCATCTGAGTTTTAGGGTCTCAGCCTCCTTGACCCCACGCCTATTAGTGACCTGCCAGTGTCATGAATAAGGTATCAAAATATGCTCATATGACCGTAATTAAATGCCCATACCCCCTGAGCTTCCGGGGGCTCTGCCCCTTGATCCCCGCCGGGCCTTTGCCCCTAGACCCCACGCCAATGTACGTTTAATACGCTCTACCTGTTTGTAAATACTTTAGCCTCCCCCCCCCACCCACTTTGAAAAACGTTCAGCGGGGCCTGCATGAAAGAGTGGGGGTAATGCAGATGTTTTTGTCTACCCCCCCTAAACATTTAGTTTATTACGCCACTGCTGGTCACCATTACGCACTAATATTTGGCTCGCATAATTTCAAATTTGCCCCCCCCCCCTTAGAAATCCTGGATCCGCGTCTGGGACCACGTGCCGACAAATATAACATAAATTATGTATTTTTAGACAAACACTAAATATTACATTAAAAAATATCTCCAACATGTTTTCAGTCGTTACGTCTCTGAAATATACATCCTTTTGTGTGATTATCCTTACTACCAATACCATGCATATCCCCTCAAAAAGAATCACCAATACAAAAAACAAATGCGTATTAACAACTACCAAATTCATTGGTAGATATGCAGGTCAATAATCATAGTAAGGCAATGGTTTACTGAAGTTAAAACTAATTCATTAATCGTTCCTGGCATTATCTATGAAAATCATCGACAAGCTCGACATAACCCACCATTAAAGGTACTATGTCCCTTTTGCAGCCAACCTCAAATTCTGTAGAACTTTGCAGGAATTATGAATATTATCATGTATGTCCTATCTGTGAAATTTAAACGTTAGCAGTGTCCTCATATTCAAATTATGCAAGGAAACCCATTTACTTGCTAGACTTCACTGTCAGGCACTATTGAGTGACTGACTGGCTTTTTTTCTTCTTTGGTAATAACATACATGAAAAGAGTTGTAAAGGCTACATGAGCATTTGTCTACATCAATAACCCACTTCTTGTGATGGCCAAGATTAAACTGATAGATTTTTTTCGCAGCATAAAGCGTGACCATTCGGTACAATTGTCTGAAAATCAAGACTATTAATTTTGGGCTCTATAGCCCTAAAGTCGATTTGACAACTAATAGTCGTTATTTTCCCACTTGAAGACATTTTCAAGCCCCACCTTTTTTAGGGAAGTTCTAAATTAGTATTATCTTTCAAATGCAGTTGGAATTTAACTTTTTCATATTTTTGGCCTGCAAATGGGACATAGTACCTTTAATAAAGTTCAACTGAAAAATATTTTTAAAATAAAGCATCGAAAAGACTCTCCGTTGCTTACAATTTCTGTAAAGTTTCCCGCCGCAGCGTCCGCTGTCTCCGCGTTCCCATTCGGGAAAAACGTCACACTGTAGGCCAGGTTCTGTCTACATATATCAAATTGAACTTGTTGGCAGTACGCTGGGTAGGAGAAAAATAGATCAATGAAGGATGAAAAACAGCGATAACATGTGAAAGAAATCATGAACGCAGACAACATAATATAGACACATTAACAGCAATAACAAAAAGAGACATCAAAATAATTCAACCGCTGAAGGTCATGAAAGGCTTAATGTTTTGGGGGAACTGGTAAACAAAAACACAGGGAAGAAAAAAAAACCTCTCTCTAAGTAAAAATCAAGAAGTATAAAACTCCCTCAATATATAGAGATAACATAGAAATTCATAGATAGGTGTGCAATTCAATTTAAGGAAATGTAAATGTTATGTAACTATAAAATGTATAACGATAGGAATTAATTGAGAAGCGAATGTAAACGTTAAATCAAAACTTACGACAGTATTCCTCATCTGAGAAATCGAGACAGTCGTTATTTCCGTCACACCTTGCCGATTCGTTGATACACAGTCCACTAGAACATTGCATTTGACCGCTGCTGCATTCTGTCATGAAGTATTTAAAGCATCGAATTATAGATAGTCTCAATGCTAGTAAACAATTTGTTATCGTGTACTTTAACTGATAGATTTTGAATAACAATGTAAGAAGAATGATAGCTACATTTATATTGCACACATATTCATCCCAGAGGAAGCTCAAGGCGCCTACAAAGTAATATTATTACCCTGGCTTTAGCCCAGTTGCCCTATTCAAAGGCGTTCAAAGTATTCAAGGAATACATTTCTACCGGGTTGCCATTTACTATGTCTGGAAGGATATTAACAAAGGTAGATTAATGTCTTGCCAAAGGACATTAGTGCCTCGGTGGGACTCGAAACGCAAACCCGGTGACGTATCCACAAGACCACGACACCTCTTCAGAAGCAGAACATATGGCTAATATGATCTTACCAGGGTTTAGTATAGCTGTGACACGAAGACTGAAGCCAATATCTCCCCTTGAGACATCCGTGGTAAACCTGATCCACATAGACTGACCGGGTGTAACGGGTTCACTGGAATAGTTATACCCAGTCAGTTTCTGAAGCTCCCAAGAACCAGGTTCATTGGGACCAGGCCCATAACCAATGTACAAGTAGTCGTAGTCCGTCTCTAGGGCCAGGTCCAGGATCTGTATCTGGAGCATGTGACCCTCTGGAGCCGTGAGTACCCAAGTAAGGTCGAGGTTCGAGTCATTGTAGGATGGATAGCCGGGTGAAGATATGACGGTGGTTTCGTTCCATTCAAGTTCTATTGCAGTGATGCTGGTATCTGTGCAATGAATTCATAATATAATAATAATAATAATAATAATAATAATTGTAATAGAAATAATAACGATGAAAATAATAAAATAATAATGAAATGGTAATAAGAGTGATTTAAAAAAAAAATAATAATATCTTTAAACCAAAGAAGCCAAGGCATAAACGATGTTCTTCCTTAGAGCCCTGCAATTATTCTTATCCCAGCAATTGCCAGAATCGTGAAAAAAAATTCGAAGGAAAAGTAGAAGGTACCAGACTAAGAGGGAAAACAGTAAGTAACTAGAAGGGGAACATTGCGACATGGTGTGCAATGACAATGCGAGAGTATACTAAGATAGCAGAAAAAATAAAAGCATATCTAAAGGAAATGAAACGGAGAGAGACATCTCTATACGTATTTAAAGAGGGCGGACCTAATTCGCAGATTCAAGAAGCATTAAAAGTCCTCCCAGTTCCATGTTTACCTACAGATACGAAAAAGGTTTCCGTAGCTCTGTAACTTAAGTAAAACGCCTAATATTCTGTTTACAATCCCGCTAATTAGGCAAAATTATCTCATGCATAAAGAACAGGAAACTAAGGAATGACTAGATTCAATAGAATTCCTGCCCCCCCCCCCCCATGACAAAAAAAATGTAATAATATTTGTATTAAAGCCCCACTGCACTACTTGTAGCTACTTGCTCCCTCTATATAGAAAACAATGCCTAAGCAGTGCCCGTTGGTCCCCCATGACCCTCTTTTTTAAAATGTTAATTGAGAGCTTAGTTGATGAGATAACCACCTGTCAGTGACCAAGTGGGAGCTCTAATCCCTCCCGTCAAAACTTATAAATTTATATGAATTATGCTATTTTTTTCATAAACAATGACAAGATATCGAAAATAATATCGCTAGTGATATTCGTTTGTCTCGCAATGTGGTCAATAAGGAATCTAAAAGATCACATCGCAGTAGCATACGAAACGTCGTGATCTTTTAGATTCCTTATTGACCACATTGCGAGACAAACGAATATCACTAGCGATATTATTTTCGATACTATATCCGCAATGAGTAATATATTTAGCATTAATGACAAGATACATAGAAATTATTAAGTTCAGTTTATACCAAATCCACAATGGCGAAGAGCACGTCTTAATGTGTATGATATTAATCATTTCTACGAATTACGCATTAATAACTTCAAATCAGCAATATTTATACATTTTTATGAAAGATTATCATCTATTTTTAATTCCTTGTTGCAATTTGTACTCTATCTAGTTTCAACTACATGACATTTTGTATGAAAAATATGAATGTGTCCAATTAAGAAACATTTTGACGACGAAATACTTATTCATTCAGCTATTTAGCAAATCGTTTTCCTTGGTCAGTTGAATTAAAATAATACTAGTATAAGAATTATCTTACCTGTTTTTTCTGCAGATGTATACGGCAGAACAGAGACAGCCAATAACCCAAACACGATGAACATTATCCCCATTTCTCTTCGTGAAACTTCTCCACCTATGAAAATAAAAGAATGTTTGATTATCGTGTACATTTTCTATTGATTCATAGTACAGTGCGTCTCAGAAAAAACGAAACCGAGCATTATCGATGATTTATCATAACTTAGTCACATTTACAATTGATAAATGACACATATTTGGAAAGCTTAGATACTCCTCTTCCATTTGATACAACTCATATGATGCATATTTCATGCATGAGTGATTAAAATCAATTTGAAGAGAGGAAACCAAAAAATCATTTGGCGGACGTTATCTGAATTTCAAAGAGAAAATGAAATTTCTAGAAAGTTGAGTTTCTGCCCTTTCATATGACACCTCAATCAGGAAAAATGAGCAAATAATGACAAATTATGTTTGTTTAGAGTAGTGCGAAGTAGTGTAGTGTATCAAACGAATTCGTTTTCACTGGCTGCCTGCCGTAGCAACAAGCAAAATGTACAAAAAACTAACTACGTTTCGTTGACAATCAGCCATGCATGCATTCTTTCGTCTACGGCTGATCCGTTTGTTGCTACGGCAGGCAGCCAGTGAAAACGAATTCGTTTAATAAAATTATGGAAATGCAAGCACTACTTTAAACAAACAGAACTTTGTTATTACTAGCTCAATTTGCCTGATTGAGATGTCATATGAAAGGGCAGAAACCCAACTCTCTAGAAATGTGATTTTCTCTTCGAAATTCAGATACCGTCCACAAAATGGCTTCTTTTTTTAAATCACTCATGCGTGAAATGTGCATTATATGAGCTTCATCTATTGAAAGAGGAGGATCTCAGATTTAAAAATATGTGTCATTTATCAATTATAATTGTGATTAAGTTATGATAAAACATCGATAATTCTCGGTTTCGTTTTTTCTGGGACGCACTGTATAATTTGTAGGTCCAAAAGTCCTACTAAAAGCTACTTTCTACAAAAACATATTATGAACAGCGACCCTCATTTCGTATTATGAATAGCGAACCTCTACTTCTATTATGAATAGCGACCCTCATTTCTTATTACGAATAGCGAACCCCTACCCCTATTATGAATAGCGACACCCTACTCCTATTATGAAAAGCGACCCTCATTTCGGGTTATGAATAGTGACCCTATGAATAGTTACCCTCTATTCCTATTATGAATAGTGACCCTCATTTCCTATCATGAATAGTGACCCTCTACTCCCATTATCAATAGCGACCGTTAATCTATATCATGAATAGCGACCCTCATTTCGTATTATAATAATAATAATAATAATAATAATAATCTTTTAGTCCACTCCAAATTTTATTAAACCGAAAATGGAAATTGTTTTTGCCCAATTGATCGTGAGCCCGGCAGCCACTGAGTATATGTAGCGACCCTCATTTAGTTTCATGAATAGCGGTCCTTATGAGTAGTGACCACTAATATAAATTATGAATAGCGACCCTCTACTCGTATTATAAATAGCGGTCCTTATGATTAACGGTCCTTACGAATAACGAATAGCGAATAGACCCCGGTGAGATGGGGGTAACTGTCTCTCTGGCATATTTCATGTTGGTAATGATGTTTGGCAAGGAGGTATATTTGTCTCCATACTTATTTAATTTGTATTTGGATGATGTATCTGTAAAATTGAATAACTGTGGTACTGACTGTTCTGTTGGTAGTACAAAAGTTAATCATTTAATGTATGCTTATGATGATCTTGTTATTTTTAGTCCATCATCTGCATGTTTACAGAGCTCGCTAAATGTTTGTTCTCAGTTTGGTATAGAAAATTATGTTAAATGTAATGCGAAAAAGAATCACGTTATGATTGTGAATTGTTAAGAACATTGTAAGTTGGTATTTCCAGATTTGTATTTGTGTGGGGCTAAACTTAATTGTAAAGAGGCTAAGTACGTAGGTCATTATTTAACTGAGGATCTTTGTGATGATAGAGATATTTATAGACAGTTTCGTTGACTAAACATTATGCACAGGGTAAAACATCGTGCAAAAAGTTTCATATGTGCTATCTTAAAAGTTAAGGTTGAATTACTTCGAGCTAATTGTACACCGTTATATACTACACATCTTTTGAATAAGTATAAAGCTGGTATAAAAAGAGCAGTAGGCCTAAAAAGAAGCTCACGGTAGCCTATAATGATGCTATGAGGATGCTCTTACGAATACCTAAATGTGAATATACCTGTATGTCAAGCTGTTGTAAGAAATATAATTTTCAAGTTTATTCAGAGAATTGACTGACACTTCAGAAAATATGATTGTTAAAATGTTGGCTAACCCATTGCAAAGCAGTACAAGGGTCACCTCAGATTTGTGGAAGTTCAGGGCCCCGTTTCATAAAACTTGATATCAATAACAAGTTACAAGCTACTGTTATAAGCTACTGAAATCATGGCCGCATCTGATTGGCTGAGACCAAATTTGTCATAGAAATTTAGCATTTGTTATAGATAACAAGTTTTATGAAACGGACCCCTGCAGTGGTTCAGGGATCTCAGTCAAATATAAATACTGTAAGCATGCGTGACCAAGAAAATGCGTATAAAGAGGTGTTTATATATGATTGTTAATTGGTTAAAAAACGTCAATTTTCGAGAAAAAGGGTAGTTTTCAAAATACTGCTGTACGCGTTTAGGGGTATTTTTCTAGATCCCGACTCCGAATTTAAAGCTGGTTATCTATAACCTTCGGTAACGGAAGCTTGCCAATGTCAAGAAACCACTATAATTTCCGTACCAGCATGTGAATAATTGCTTGTTTACGACCGGGGTTTACGACGACCCCGAAATGTAATCATTTTTTTCGAAGCCAAGGACATTATGGTGGCTGTGCATTAAATCCAATGCCATTTGGAAGTGGAAAAGTAGATGATATTGCTTCTATACTGGAATAAATGTTTACATTGTGAATTTTACATCTGAAGCCAAATTTGATTTTTGTATATTTTGTACATTGTCTACAACTTAAATGGTAATCCCTATCGCGCCGTTCAAAATGCTCAAGGCCGGGGCTACACTTTTACAATACTTGTTTAGGAGTACACTTTTGTGAAATACCCGTTTAGGGTGTGAGTTCGGGGGGAAAAACACGCGAAATCCTCATTGAGGGTGTTTTTGGCTTCAGAAGAAATCCTCGTATAGAGGGTGTCTGGAAAACATATTTCTATATGACTCAGACCTCTGGGGCTTGTTGTCACAGTCGGCAGAGGTTGTTTAAAGTAGTTTAGTTTTGTTTCTCTGGTATCTGTATGCATGTGCTCCCCTCTTATTTGTGTGCATTGTTTGTATCCACAAATTTCATTTCATTTCATTTCGTTTTTTTTCAATTTCCAACAACATAAATAAAGCACAATGGATTGCATTGTACATAGTAAAACAATGAAACTTAACAATATATTTGTAATTGGTCCACATTGTACAACAGGCATATAAAACAGGTTGGTCATGGAGGGGACTGCTGAAAAGCTGGGCTTGTAGATTGCAGCCCCCTATAACTT